CATGAGTGATTGAGACGGGTCTTATTGGGAAGTTTCGAACACTCTGACTACATGTGTCATGCAGATCTCCTATTGATCCTCTTATAGTTTTGCTCAGCTGATCTTACTTTTATAAACATAAAAAAAAAAGATCACATTATTGGCCATGCTTTGAAAACATCCCAAAATGATTGTTTGTCTTGACTGACTTCATTTCAGATGTTGTTTTATTTCATATGTTATTGGCCAGGTGGGGTTAATCTTGACTTTTAGATATTTTCATAAGGTCTCTTTTTCCCCTCCCTCAGAACACTCAAGTGACAGAAGCCTGGAACAAGATTGCTCAGTCCTTCAAATGCTCACCGATTGAGGGTAGGTGTCTGATTCAAACACCGGGCATCTCGGTGTGAAGTGTCATGGAAAAGGTATTCAGGCCAGCCTCAAGCTCTCACATTTAGATTGTTTTGTCCTTCAATTCCACATTTTTTTATAAAACAGGGGATGATTTAATTTTTTTTTTTAGACATGAAAGCTGGTTTTCATTTAGGTGATGAACGTTTCCTTTTTAATGTTAAACTGTCTGTTTTAAAGGAATGCTGTCTCATCAGCTAAAGCAACATGTCATCGATGGAGAGAAGACGATCATTCAGAACCCTTCAGACCAACAAAGGTAAGACAAGTCACTTGTATACTATTTAAATCACTTTTTACACATAGAGCAAAGTGTAGATTATAGATGATGCATGCATGTACTTGCAGAGTGGGGTTCAATCTGTTAATCCACATAGTTATTCCAGTTTTCTGCTCCTGGATTTTCTTTTAATTTGTCATCAGTCCATAAACGTAAAGGCAGGGTTGGTCATTTTCGAAAACTAGCATGATTTTGAAAGTAGCACACCCCCTCCACTCTATTCTTCCTCAAAAGCCACGCCCCTCACTTACATGCACAAGTGCTGTTGATCCAGAAGCGGACCTCAACTCCTGCTTTGAGTGTGGGCAATTGCCCGCATGGGGTATATAATGCGTAAGGAGACAGGGAGACATGATTGGTTCATCAGATTGGTACCTCGTGGCAGACATTGGTTGTAGTTTGTCAGCACCTAAAGACAATTTCAACCAAAATCTTAAAAAGTGTATCTGGAGAAAATTACCAACCCTGCCTTTAAAAATTGTTCTCTAATCACCTAACACCATGACTCGTGATGTCTTTTTGAGCAGGACACATTATTTTGTAATTCTTTCTGGTATAATACCATTACATCTGTGTATAACAAAGTGTACAGTCTAGACCTGCTCTTTTTGTACAGTGTCTTCAGATAACATTTGTTAATTGATTGATCCGAAACTTGGCTATTTTAAGAGTCTGACCGATTTTCTTATTCTTATTATTATGATTATTTTTTGCAGAAGACTGGCGGTGCAACAGATCATAGCACACCCCAGGGTGTGGACCACATGTTATGGTGTTTTTTGTTTTTTTTACTGCTGCTAAACTCCTGTACAGATCCTGTAAAAAGAATACTTGTATTAAAATAATACAGCTTTTTATCTTCCAGACTGTTGTTTAAAGTATTTAGGGGATGTGGTACATCACTACATGGAGATGCATTGCTGGCCATTGTGCTGTTATAATGTATACTTACAGTCATGCTTAAGTGAGGAGTCAAAAAAAATTCTACAGACTTGTTCTTTTTTTTTGACTTTTTTTTATTTTGGTCAAAGTGGATATGTGACACAAATGTGATCCAATCTGTACAACCAAAATTACAACCGGAAACACTTGACTCTGGAATTTTTAATAAATGTTGTAGTAGTTGTGTGGCTGTATTTCTTGAGTATAAGTGAGTTGCTCATCTTTTGGCTGTCGTCTACACTCGTTTCAGGAAGGACCACGAGAAGGCAGAGTTTGAGGTACATGAAGTCTTCGCTGTGGATGTGTTGATAAGCACCGGAGAAGGAAAGGTCAGTGTCTTTTCTTTCAGTTATGACCCACTGATGCCAAGTGTTTCTGATCCCTCTCTAGCTCATAAACATTTCTGTGTATAGAATGCGTTTATTGTTCTTTGATTATGTCGTTTCCTTTAAGGCCAGAGATGGAGGTTACAGAACCACTATTTATAAGCGGGACCCCAGCAAGCAGTATGGCCTGAAGATGAAAACATCCCGTACGTTCTTCAGCGAGGTGGAACGCCGCTTTGATGCTATGCCCTTTACTCTTCGGTATTAACACCACGTTCAAAATGTACTTATTTATATAGTTAGTCCCATAACTGATGTTTTTTAAGTAGATTTTTCTTTTTACTTCAGAGCCTTTGGGGATGAAGCCAAAGCTCGGCTGGGTGTGGTGGAGTGTGCCAAACATGAACTGCTACAGCCTTTCAGTGTTCTACATGAGAAAGAAGGCGAGCGTTTACTTCTTTCTTTTTTTCAGTTTCTTTTTCTGTCTCCGTCTTTAAAAAGATTTCACTCTTTATTGACTGCCACCTTCTCTCTGTGCCTGTGTTCTCAGGAGAGTTTGTAGCTCAGTTTAAGTTCACAGTCTTGCTGATGGCCAACGGGCCCCACAGAATCACCAACGGACTCTTTGATGCAGAGCTCTACCAGTCAGAGCATGAAGTTCAGGATCCAGAGCTGAAGGTAAGATCGTCTTGCGTTAAACATCATGTTTCCATCATACTGAAATGCCTCTCCTCCTTCCCAGACTTTACTACAGAGCTCTGCAAGCCGTAAAACACAGAAGAAAAAGAAAAAGAAGGTACATTGTTATTCAAGCGATCTAAAAGGATTCATTCATCTTTCTATGACCTCCATTTGCTGATTTGTACCGACATTTCTCATCCCGCAGGCCTCAAAGACGGCAGAAAACGCAACTGGACAGCCAGCTGAGGAAACGGAAGCCGTAGAATAAATAAATACTGTCTTTTCACACGCAAGACCCCAAAGAGAAGCAAGAGGAAACATGACAAATGGCTCCCTCCCATCGTACACCTGGTAGAGGCGATTTCACTGTTTTAAACACAAGATCTTTCAAAACGTAATAAATATGACTCTGTTCTTTGTGGATAGTAAACCCTTTGCTGCATTTGGTGGGAGTAAAATGTAAGAATGTAAGGATGTGTTGTTACTTTTCCCTCCTGGATTAGGGAATTAAAAAATATTTGCAAACAGTTGAGCAACTTTGAAAAGGCTTGTTGCCAAAAGGTTAATTGAGCAACTGATGTCTTCTTTTAAAAATACTCAAATCTTTAGGTCCTCTTCATGCTTGTTGTAAATGCAGCTGCATATGATAGTGGTCATTACAAGGAGTTTCAGATGCTGTTGTACTTTGACAACAAGTTCTAAAAAGCTGTCTTAACTTCTTTGTGGTTAAAAAAACAAATCTTTTATTACAAGGTTATTGAGCACTTTGTCACCTGTGTAACAAAAAGCCGTGAAGATGGGTGAACGTTTCATAACACTTTGTTTTTTCTGAACATCATGCAGTAAAGGGTTAAATCATAAATTTGTCTCACTTTTGAACTGCAACTTAATGTACCATGCTTACAGGGATTGTACTATAATAGATGTTGTAACCAGAGTAAGTGTTTGGAGGTTTGTCCTCATAGGGCCTGTTCACGGCTCAGGCTGAAGCGGTGTGTTTGAACCACAATAGATTTTGTTAAAGCAATAACCTGAACAGAAGACTGGAACAATTGAAGTTTACAAGCCAGTTGCGATCAGCTTGACTTTAGGGAACAAAAATGCTACGTTTACTGCCATTCCCCTTTGAATTTTATGAAAGGATGGAAACCTTGATGTTGCACTTTTGAACAATTTTTCTATCAGATATCTGTTAGTCATACATGTCATTAGTCCTGTGAAGCATGGAAACTGAAGCTAAAAAACCTTTATCATGAGTTTCATGGGTTTTTGTCATGGATCAGTATGAGATCATTTGAGGTCTGAGTTTCATCCTCAGGTCTGTGACTGTTGGCAACATTTGTCAACCAGTTGAACATGTTGAGAAAAGTGAAATCCTGCTTTGTAGCTCAGTCATTGGGCAATGTAACTTTACATCTATGAAATAAATTTTTCATAAACATTTTCATACATCTCTGTTTTTTTCCTACAATATTTCAGTCGGTTTAAGTTGTTGAACTAGAAGGAAAATATGATGCAGCATCAATTTGAATTACCCTTATTCTTATCTTTCTAGCCCGTATCATGTCTGTAAATCAACACCCAGAACTCTTACAGGTAATCTTAAGATATTTGGATATTATGAATCCCAAATTTTAATCAGGTTACGTGATTTTTTTGTTGATTTTATGGATTGAAAATGATCTGTTTAGTAACTTACAGTAAAAGCTAACTCAGTACAATGGTGTGGTGCACTGATGCCTCTTGACAAGCTTGCAGAGAGTACCGATCCAGGCAGCAGGGGCCTTACCATGTGGAGCTGGAATCCTCTTGCTTCCTCCAAATGGGGTGTGGACCATGGTTTTAAACTGCAACCGTACTGGAAAGAAGATAACCCCTTTGGAGGCAGAAAGTTAGTGACGTGTTTAGCACTGATGCCTCACAGTAAGTCGGCCCAGTGTTTGAGTCCCAGGGAACAACTATTTTATACAACTGGTAAGCACTGAGAGGCTGCACAGTGATGTGGTGGTTAGGAGAGATGCCTCATTGTGAGAAGATTTCGTCAAATAAATAACTCATCTCTACAGCCTACCTAGAATGATTATTAAGCATACATATTATGATATATAATTATTATTATTTATTATATTATTAATTATTTTATTAATAAATAATATATAATATAATAATAATTTATTATAAATTATTTGTATACCCTTTGGTAAATCAGCTCTTTTGGTTACTGTTCAGTTATTTGAAGCATTGAATGGGTCGTAATACTGAAGCGGTTATAATAGTTGGTTTCGCTGTTGACGCCTCTCGATGGGACAGTAACCGGGGACACTAATGACTACATTTCCCAACGAGCTAAGACAACTGGCGCTGGATGATGACGTCGCCGAGTGTATAAATAACGCGATCTTTCTTCGTCACATCCTCTTTCCGTTGCTGTTCTCACTTTGAGGTAAGGAAACCTGCATGACCGCCAACTAAATCCAATTGAATCTGCTCTTATTTTAAGTCATCCACGGTCATTAATATCTTGTATTGTGCTTATTTACAGAAACTTCTCCACACGATGAGAGCAAAGGTAAGGAAACGAACTATCAAGCAATTATTTAACTCTTCCTGTTTCAGACGATGCTGCTTGCTAGCTAGCTACTGAATTTTAGCTCATTGGCTGCTTTGTGTTGTCCTTTTAGATTTTCCAGCTCAAAGTTGTCTCTATAAGTCCTTTAAAGCATATCACCGTATTGAGACGTAAAACTTGTAGTATAGTAAGCATGTTTTCATTGCGGGGTAAAGGCGGCAGTGTTGGTGCAGTATGTTTTCGGTCATTAAATGGGAGGGAACACATGGCATAAACAACTGCATTAACTCCTGTGTGTCCTCTTGTCTTCTAGTGGAGGAAGAAGCGTATGCGCAGGTAAGCATTCATGAATTGTTCACACTTCAGCACGTTTTACTTTCCACACATATTTTACATGCGCTCCTGTTAAAAGTGACTAAAGTGGAAGTTTTCTGACATGACTACAACTGGAGGTGTACGTTTTACACCTTCAAATTAAACTTGTCCACAATTATAAGTTAGTACTTGCTAAAATAAATTTCAGTTTCTCATTTTTTGCTGATGACATGAAGTAATGTTCCAAACCTTGCTCTCAGAGTACCTTCAGCTGCAGTGTTTCTGATGTAGTAATTAAACTTATGGAGTTTTATAACATGCTTTGAAGGTTTAGTTGATTACAGTTAAACAAAAAATACAACCCAGTTTTCTAGTCATTCTGGTACTAAAACCTGTCTCTGTTAAAACAGGCTTGTTTCCCCTGGAGCTTAATGGCCACATTAAATAACTTCAAATATTTCTGAAATGTGATGATGTAGGTTTATTTAAACAAGAAAACATCTTGTAGGCCTGAATACCAAAGCCCATTTTCCATTACATGAAACTGGAATTCAAGTATTCCTCAATTTAAAGGTAATCTGTGTTAAATCTTTGTTCATGAGGAGTAGTCAAATCCCAAATGCAGACTTGAGTTAAATCTCATGTGGGGAAAGCTGAAAAACATGCATTTACTTGACATTATTCACCATGCCTGACTTGGAACTGATTCATTATAAAGAGCTTGTAGGTTTACGTGTTGTCAGGTTTTCCAGCTCTCATGTCCACACTAATTATTAATGAAAGATTTTAACCTTTTTTTTTTTTTTTTGGTAGCTTATATGATCTGGTCTAAAACCCAGGGTGTGAAGTATTTTGGTCATGCTTAAAGTGGTGTTTGGTTCCCAACAGGCTGAAGCGTAAAAGGAGAAAGATGAGGCAGAGGTCAAAGTAAGCCCTCATTGCATCAGCTGTGATCCTGTCAAAGCCTCGCCAGATGACTTGACCCCCCCCCTCCTTCAGTGGATTGAAAGCCTCCACCCCGATGTCTGACAACAGAGCCTCTAACTGAGCACGCTGTGGACATCTGACTGGAAGATGGATGACACTGGACGGATCTCTCACCATCAGAACTGCAGCTGCTTTGTTCATGGACCAGAATACGATCTCTTGACCTTCATGTGGTGTATTGAACAATAAATGAACACTGTTAAAACTTAATCTCAGGTTTCAGCCTCTTAATTTCACATTTTAGGAGTAGTTTGAAAATGAACTTCTCTGCAAGCACGATCACGAACTGTTACAGCAGCGCAATCATGGCTGAAAATGATCTATGGAGAAGAGTGGGAACCCTGTAATGGTGTACAAAATGCTTATTCAATAACTAAATGGCTAAAAGATTATCACACTAAATTAGGATAGAGTAACTCGTCAAGCACATGTTCTCATTGGCAAAATGTAATATTTCTGCTCAATGTTTGAAGGGTCAGATTCAGCCCATGAGCCTCTACTTGATGAGGTCTGGTCAATACTGAAACAAATCAGCCACTCCTATAACAGCCCACGAGATAAAATAATTAACATTCAGGTCGACGCAAAGCATCTCATGGTAGGCTGAAATGTCATTTATGTTCTTGTAAACCTTTTTACTATATTTCTGCATTTGAATTTATTGAGGTGATCTTAAACATAGCTTGTTTTTGTTGCCTGGTGTTAAAAACAAATATGACATTTGTGATCTGCTTTTACCTTATCTGAGAAATGCAGCTGTTAAATATAAATTGAATTAAAAATATACACGTGTAGGCTAAATGAAGCTTACGTAGTATTGTCAGTAAAAGTGACTTAGTAACTACTTTTCCCAATATGTAGGTCTACTTGTACTTGTTTAAAGAGGAAAACATTGAAATCAAGAGACATGCAAATAATTATAGTCCTTTAATTATAATTAGGCAGAAACTTCTTCACCTTCATGTGATCTTGCAGTATTGTTTGATATTTATGGGTTTTTATGTCCAAAAACTAGAATTTTCATGTATTTATATTGCAACACATTTCAACAGTTAGCTACTTCTATTCCAAGTTGTAAGAAGTATTCTGATTCTTTACATCTTTCTGATAGGCTCCTTTATTCCTGAAGCCCTTAGTGGTTATCAAATTGCATCACATCAATAGAATAGAATTACTTTATTGATCCCAAACTGGGAAATTGTGGAAGGACTCAGTTTGACAAGATTCTGTCCCTGATACCCACTTCCTGCCATTGAGGATGTCCAAAGAACACGCTGTCTGCGGCGAGCTCATGGCATCCTTAAAGACTCCTCCCACCCTGCCCACAGACTGTTTACCCTCCTGCCCTCCGGCAGGCGCTTCAGAAGCCTCCGGACCAGAACCAGCAGACTGAGGAACAGCTTTTTCCCCAGAGCTGTTTCTCTACTGAACTCTACCCCCCGAACTCTGAACTCTGTCTCTCTCTCTCTCTCTCCCTCTCTCTCTCCGCCCCCTGCTGACCCCCCTTTCCCCTCCATATCACCTCACACCCATCATCCCCCCACCACTCCTCCTGGTCACACACACACATCTCTCATCCATCTGTATTATTGTATTATAGTATGTTCATATTCTTTAAATTACCTGTAAACTTGTATAACATGCTCACTGCATCTTAATCTGTATATTATTAGTATAACATGCTCATTGCATCTTAATCTGTATATTATTAGTATAACATGCTCATTGCATCTTATTCTGTATATTATTAGTATAGCATGCTCACTGCACCTTAATCTGTATATTATTAGTATAGCATGCTCACTGCATCTTAATCTGTATATTATAATCCTAAGAACACACTTATTTTGTAGCATTACTTATTTATAGCATTTATTTATATTTATTGCATCCCATTAATCCAGCATCCAGATATACCTCATAATTCACTTTTTTTGTCTACATCTGTAAATTTTGCAATTACTGTACATAGCACAGAATTACTGTACATAGCACAGACTCTTGCACTTTCTGCTTATTTGCACTTCTGGTGAGATGCCAAACCTCATTTCGTTACTCTATACTTGTATATGTGTAATGACAATAAAGTTGAATCTCATCTCATCATCTCATCTCATACCCACATCTTATAACATATTTCTTGCTCAAGAGGAAGCCACAATAATATAATAGTGGATTATACTCTAATGATGCACAGAGGGAGAATTCAAGCATTGCAACACAAAGACAAGTAGCTAGTAGGTAAAATAAATTAAAAAAGTAAGATACAAACAAATAGAATAAGAGGTATACAATACAGCTGGAATATGGTGGACTGTATAACATTATTTCTATTTTTTTTTTAATATAAACGTAGAGTTTAATTTGTACATTTTGTAATTCTGATTGCAGTAAGGCAAATATCCAAAAAACAAATTACATTTCGATCTATTTTTCCAGCCAAGAGGGGGCGCTGCAGATCCGTCTTAATGCTGCACACTGCAGACACCGCAGAAGAAGTGTAAGTATTGTAAACACAGGGATATGGCTGACGAGAGGGGTGGAGGTGAGGACAACATAAACGACAACATGGGGAACCAGTTACAGCTTTTACCAGGTAAGAATTAAACTTCTTGAATGACAGATAAGACTGCTCGGTGTTTCACTATAAGAGCCATTTCCTCTTCTGGCTGCTAGCAGCTAGCTAGCTAACAATTCTTCACAACAGGCCACTCACATCCTGGCTGAGACATTTTATGAACCATAGCTTTCGGTTTCTTTTATTTTTTTGTGTGTTTGCCGTCAGTGAATTAACCTTAAGTGAATTAAGACGCTTAAGTTGCAGCTGTTAGGAGACACTACAAGAGCTTGCCTTACTGTGAGTGTTATTTTCCCCTGACAGACCATGAGGCAGAGGAGGAGGAGGATGACATGGAGACTGAAGACCGAGACAATGAAGACGCAGAGAAACCAAACCTCATCACCTTCGACCCTAGTCTTCCCACATCACATGCTGTGAGTGAGGCCATGGCTGTCTCTCTTAAGATGATTCAAGTTATCCTACATTCATTAACTCATTAACTTCACAGTGTGTTTGTGTAGCTGTCACAGGAGTTATAAAGTTAGTTTTCTGCAGCTGTTGTTGTCATGCTGTGATGTGTTGACAGTACCTGGGCTCAGACATGGAGGAGTTTCATGGCCGCACAGTTCACGATGACGACAGCTGTCAGACCATCCCTGTGCTGCCACACACTTCTGTGATGCTGGTGCCAGGCCAGACGCTGCCTCTACAGCTGTTCAGGCCACAGGAGGTCAGCATGATGCGGAGCATCATCCAGAAAGACCGCACCTTCGCCGTGCTCGCAAATAGGTACAAACTTACTCTGAGTCTAACTGTAATCATAATAGAGCTTCAGTGTTTTTAAAGTTTAACTTAAATCATGGCTCCAGGTAAAACCAATCATGTGATCCCTGATTTAGACCTTAATAATCCACCTACATGCAATGTAGTTTTGTAATATATCATTTTCATATGATTTATTGTTGTATTGTTCCTAATTGTTGTTAATTTATTTTATTGTTTGTATTGTAATGTTTTTTGTTTTTTTTAGATCGTCCTACCGAGGGGCCACATATGTAAATGAGCTTTATAGTTTACTCTGACCAAATAATCCTGATGATATTATGGAGTTTAAATTGGACTAATTTTGAGACTTGAAATAACAAAATCAGTGATTTGCCATAAACAGGGCGCTTGCACATAAAAAGATCTGGACATTTTACCAGACTTCAAAACAAACGCTTTGTTACCATAAAAGATGATAGCAGATTTTTGTATGGATGTTCTGTCCCGTGTTCATGGATTTTAATTGATTTGATAGATCAGTAGTCAGCATGTCTTTTCCCTCAACCTTAAATATGTACAAATGGAGTTTTGATTTAAATGTTTTAACTTGATATGTTTCTCTTCAGCGATGCAGGTGAGCCGCAGGCCGAGTTTGGGACAACAGCTGAAATCTATGCATACCGAGAAGAGCAGGAATATGGCATCGAAACCGTCAAAGTGAAAGCTATCGGTAGGCAGAGATTCAAGGTCCATGAAATCAGAACTCAAGCTGACGGGTGAGTTTAAACACTCCTTAAATCCTTAAACCAAAGGTTAGGATTACATGTAGGTGCTCATTTGATATTACACAATGAAGCTTGCTTCTCACATCCAGTGTGATGTACAGCATGTAATCTGTCCATTTTTTGACCAGCCACATGCCACCTGTCACAACAGTGACCGAATATTTTTTAAAGTAGTGCTCTCATAGTTCACAGCTAGAGGGCAGACGAACATAATCCACAGGCATTTTAAGAAGCTCAAATAAAACCAGAACTGGTTGTAGCTGTGTAGTGCAGGTTTTCACACCATATACATAGCCTTTATGGTTTTCGCACGAGTGTAATTGATTGTGACTTGGTCTTTTAAATGACATGAAATGGTGGTGTTAGAGATTTTCTCTACTCCTACTCTCACCCTCTTGAGTGGATTTCAGGAATTTCAGTCTTAATAAGAAAATGAAAAGTCCGTTCTTTGGGCCTCCTCTTATCAGAGATTGATCTTCCGCTCTGTAAAATTTCTAAATGCCCAATCAGGAAATTTAGATCACATAACGTTTGGAAATCCAAAGCCACAATGCCATCGTGTTATTGCATGAATTTAGCAATTTGAGCATTCAGTGGATATGATTTACATACTGCGTAATGTTCGTTTAGCAACAGCTGAATGTGTTTTATAGCTCATGTGTTGTTACACTGTGAATGTTTAGTGTGACTTGCCCAAGGAAGTTCATTGAGTGTGTCGTTGTTAAGGAGCTGGAGGAATATTTCTTCTTGCTGCTGTGTACAATATACAGAGAGCTTCTTTTTATGATCCTCTCAGATTTAGAAACATCCTGCCATACACCCGATGACAGTCAGCCAGCTCACCATTTGTTTAATCTGTTATTCATCTGCTCTGTTTCACTCCTTTGCTCTCTTGCACACTTCCCTCCTCGCCTGTCTTTTGTTTCTCTACCAGTGTCATTGTCTCCCTTTGTTTTTCGCCTCAGGATCAGACAAGCCAAAGTACAGATACTTCCAGAACGAATCCTTCCAGATCCCCTCTCCGCGGTGCAGCTCACTCCCCTATCTAGGCTCCACATGCATCCTTCATCCAAACCTCCGACTCAGAGCTGTAAACAAACCCAGCACTGGTGGAATAACTACCAGCAGGTCAGACACTCAAGATACAAGGAATATGTGATTGTCCATCACATGAACATTAAAGTTTGAAGGGATTCGCCTGTAGATTGACTGATTTGTTGAACAGCTAATTGCTACAGCTCTAATCAAATACTTGGATGAAGGCTAAAAAAAAAAAAATATAAAATTGTGCAGGTCTGGTATTTGTCCTTGTATATTTTCGAATGCCTTGCTTAGAGGGTTTTTTAATACTTGAACCGTCTGTTCTGTCTGCATACACATAAAGAATATAGAGCAGAGAGCGCTTAGACAATTAGTTAATTAATCTTTTGGATGCAGTTCAATGTCCATTAAGTCATTGTTTGGGTCAGAAGTAAAACACAGAGCATACATTTCATCCTAAGATTTTGTTAAAACCTCTGATACTACGATAAAGGAGTGATTGATATTGAAAAACACAAATATTAAAACTTGTCCACATTACATTAAATTCTGTTAATAATGATGTTTAATATGTGGACTGTTTTTCTCACTGTTTCAGTCAGAGCTCTTAATTACAATTCATAGGAATCCATACGCTACAACTTGTAATTATGTAAAGGAGAGACCCTTTCTTATTTGAATATATGACTTAATGCACAGGGGAGATGGGCGTAGAGTGTCTGCTTTAAATAGCTTGTGTTCCTCTTGTGTCAGTCAGAAATAGAGAAGGGAAAGAGAATGTTAGGATACTTCAGTCATCGTTGGTTGTTGATTTTATTTTTTTTATGGTGTGTCTGTTGTGCTTCACAGAGGAAGTTTCACTGTGCCCGTCTGACACCATGGCCACCCTGGGTCTACGCTCTCTACGACTCTGTGAGTGCTGAGGGCCATAAGCATTGTTCAGAATTTTCCACCATATGTAAACATCATAGGAATGATTGTAAACCAACCTATCTGCTACTTGCCTTTCACGTCGTAGGAGTCGCTAATGAACAGAGTGAAGAAACAGCTCCATGAATGGGATGAGAATCTGAAGGATGACTCCCTCCCTACGAACGCCGTAGGTCAGCCTCTGTTCAGTATATCACAAATGGATTGCAGAAGCATACACACACGTGCACATTCTGCTGTGTTTCTTTTGTGCTTTCTTCCCTCCCTTCTTTTTTCATCCCTCTTTTTTCCCGCCGGTCTGGTTTCTGTCAGACTTCTCCTACCGAGTGGCGGCCTGTCTGCCCATAGACGACGCTCTGCGGCTTCAGCTGCTGAAGATCGGCAGCGCCATCCAGAGACTTCGCTGTGAGCTGGACATCATGGACCGGGTAAGTAAAGGTCACAGTTGACCCCTCCTCCATGAACAGCCAACTCCGCCATTGTTTCCCTCATGGTGTGATAAGATCTGGTGTTCTGTTGTACTGTGCACACTGTGTCTGTTCTTTGGTATATCTAACGATTTGAACAGGGCTGACAGATGAGGGGCTGCTGTAATATTTCAGACCAAGTGTTTAGTAATCATTTAGTGTAAGCAGAGATAACTGCTGGGTCTTAACCCTGGAATGAATCTGTAACAAAATGCTGTACTCACTGGACATTGCTCATATTATTTAACACCTCATGCATAACTACAAAATAATACAGGGAATATTACATGAAAGATATTGTCAAGACCGCTGAAAATACAGAAAACGGGTATAATGAAAAACTCTGCTGGATATAATTTTTTTCTGTAAATAATGATAATGACAAGGGAAAACTTCTTGATGTTCCTATTAAACCCTCCCTAGGCTGCTGCTGAACAAAATGTGTCTTAAAGTTGCAGGAAGCTGGCGCTCTTCATGAATTTAATGTTTAAGTTAATGAAGCAGTAATGGCCCAGGTTACTGTAGTACCTCCTTTATAAAGGCCAGTTTTTATACCTTATTTAAGATTTAAGATGCACATGCACAAACAGGATCCTATGGACATGCAATGGAGAGATGCCAGACTCGTACAACTTCCATATTTGGTAATCCACACCGGGACTTGAACCAACGACCCTCCGGTTCCCAAGTCCCTACAGACTGAGCTATATATTATGCACTGATCCAGCAGCACTTGGCTACAAAAAGCTAGTGGCTCTTGTCATGAAGGACATGTTATTCTGTCATATAGGATCCTCATTTAACCTCACCAATAAGGAAAATGTTTGTTAAGAACATGGGTCATTTACAAAACCTTTTAACTTCCTGTTACCTCTCGTCCTCAGTGCACATCACTGTGCTGTAAGCAGTGTCAGGACACAGAGATCACCACAAAAAACGAGATCTTCAGGTGAGGACTTTTTTATGTCTGTGTACAAGGTGTGTCCTTATTTTTATTTTGTAGCAGTGTCTTTTATTTCAAGGAAAATATCATCAGTACCTTGCATTTTGTAGCTTGATTAAAGCAAATGTTTTTAACAAAGTTTGAATACAGACTTGAAGAAACTTAGCATTTTGTTTAAAGGGATAATTCATTTCTGTGAATATTACACTTGAAGTTATCCTTTCCTGCCCACGCGTGACAGGAAGCTAAAACATGGAGCTCGATACACCTGAAAGCCTTTTACTGTTAGGTCCAATCAGCAGCACCAAAAACTATTTGACATCACAGGAGGTCGACTCCGTCAGTATTCAGATCTAAAAACGAAATGAAGGTTTTACATTTGAAAGTCTGAGACGTTTGGATTTCTTGCCACTTTAAACATGAATAGCATCCATAAACTGAACTTCTCTGTGTTATACAAAGATACATGAACATGAGCAATAAGGGATACAAAAAGACATTTAGACAGTTTGACAATGGTACCCAACCAGAGGGAAAATTATATCACAGTAATCACTGTAATTATTACCACGTGTACTGCATCTCCACAGTCAGAGTGCGCACACACACACACACATGTATGTATACTGTTAGGTAATGTAACGTTTTAACTGCAGATGATGTGTGATGGTTCGTTTGTTCACACACCAAACCGGTGACAGCACTGAAGCTGTGCAGGCTCTGACGCTGCTAGGACAATTACATAAGCTGTTAAGTCTGAGGACATCCAGATAGTCTGAGTGAATAAGTGATTGTGTGTTTATTATGATTCGTGTGTTAAACATTCAGGATTCAATTTTCAGGCACTCTTCTTCTGAAAAACAAAACATAAAACTAAAAGAGAAGAGATAAGAAGAAGGTCTGGGTCTGAAACTAATGGGAACTAGTTGTTTTTATTCATTGTAAGACAGTAAACATCCAGCAATCACAATCCATACCAGAAAAATAATCTTACAAAATCGTATCCTTCATAGTAGATCAGGTCTATGATTCGTTCATTCTTTCCTTCAGTTTTAGCTGCAGTTGTTTACATCTATGTCAACAATTCTGGCCACTTAGAGGCATCCCATTAAACTGTCATGACAATAGGTGTTAAAACAAACTTAAAAATTATAGAAGATAAAAAATAGAAAAAATGACATGAACAATAGAAGACTATAGAGACAATAGAGAAAATATGAGCGAAATGAAACTAACTCGAGAAATAAAAGTCTGACTCTTCAGCTACCAAAGGCTCCTCTTTGTTCACCAAGGAAGTTGCTAACTTAGCTTACCTGTTGTTTTTTTGCATTACATTTAGCATTAATGAAATGTATTTTCTTTTTCACCTTGAGCAACAGCCAAGAAAGTTCCCCCAAAGAAGTAGCCCTGTGGGTTATCACATCAAAACATTGACTCTGAACTGAGCCTAGAACTGATCTGCTGTTATGAAATAATTATCTTTATGTGTATTTCTATGAGCAACCCCTTTGACATTATTCATAACTATTAAATCAATTAAATATATGATTTAAAAAAAAGTGTTATATCAGCTTCAACTTTCAAAAACCTTCCCAGAATGGATGCTGATTTAAAATATGTTCTGTATCCTTTTCTAAAACTCAGAAAGCTTAATTGTGAATATTTGACTCCTTATTGGTCATCTCTGAACTGTTAGAATATTTGATATTTTATATAATAAATCCACCTGGACACTAAATTATGGAGTCTTTAGAAACGTGGCTGTGTCACCAGAATTGAAATGGTTTGATTTAACGTGTTTGTTGAGTAAACTCGCTGCTGGGTTCACAGAGGCTGCAGCATTTGAATCTACAATTTAGGTCTCTTTTTACGGAGTCTCTAATCACTCTGCTTTATTCTTTCTTACAAAGAACACTGTCGACTTGTTTGGAGAGTGATGAACCGCTGACGACATAATCTCCCTCCCTGTTGTCTTTTTGCAGCCTTTCTCTGTACGGGCCCATGGCGGCATACGTCAACCCTCACGGTTATGTCCATGAAACTCTGACTGTCTACAAAGCCAACAACCTTAACCTGGTCGGCAGGCCATCCACACTGCACAGCTGGTTTCCAGGGTAACGGCTCAATTTGTGGCATTTAGCTCACTCTCTCTTTTTCAGACTATTCTATAACACAAGAAATAACACTCATGCATTGAATATAGATTGACTCGGACCCCTAACTGTACCTTTCAGAGACATTGGTCTGAAACACTGTAGCGTGCGTCTTTGATATGCTATTATGCTGTTCTCCAGAGCAGTTTTCCATTGTAGTGCTGTCCTTCCATCAAAATCAGTAACGCTATTTCAAAAAAGACAAATTAATAGGGCTTCCGTTCAGAAATTTATGAAGTCCCTGTTTGGCATTGGGCTTCTGTAGCCAGCCCCAGAGGAGGGAGACCTTTCCCTGGCTCTGGGTATCAAATATAAAATAATTGTCATCAAATTTGATTGAGTGCTACACAATGCACTTGTCCCAGTGTGAACTTTTTTTTTTTTAAATGATGAGTCCACTAAAAACCTGTTTCAATAATCACTGCCTCCAAGCTTGTACAGCGACTCTTAAAAGTTTACATTTTTCATTCTTTCACTTCGGTGGCTGAAGTTAGCTTAAAGCCAATCCAACTGTGATCTGACTCGTCTATAAAATGTGCTGTGAGATTTGATAAGATGAGCAGCTTACATAGCCAGGAGCAAGTTTGGGAGGATTTCAGATGAGGTCTGAGCTGGACTATCAGCAGATCTTCTTGTGTTTACTTTCTCAATCCTGCTCCAGACAGACTTTAGTGATGCATTTCAGTGTACTAAATGTGTCCATCAGAATAAACCGATTTCATCCATTCTAAAACGGAAAAATGCAACTTAAGTCAGCCACCGATTCTGACAAAAAAACTAAACAGAATTATGTGTCTGAACAGATCCTTCGATACACAGCACTTCAGTCACAGCTGTCTCGGATGACTCCAGATAAAAGCAAAATGTCACGTAGAAACTTCTCGAACCATGTCTGCAGCGTACCTCCCCACTCGTCTGCAGAACTGTGTGTTCACTATGTTCCAGCACTCAGTCGTTTTTAAACTACATTACTAAGACAGATTTCCATGTCAAGCTGTGGCTAAATACAGCCGACATCCTCAATGAAGAAACATGTCTCTCTACCGAGCCACATCACAATTCTACAGTTGCTGAGCATTTAAAGCTGAAATATATAGACTTCTGTTAAGTGTTTAACCCTTTAAGGATGGAAACCTTTCCTTTAATAGCCCTCCTCCATTCTGAAATGTGTTCAGCTTCTTTTACATTGATGGTTAAACTTCACAGAACAGAACGATACTATAGAACTGTTTGTCACTAGACAGCAGAGTATGCTGATCCAGTATGCATCTTATTATGATTTATCTCTTGTGTGGAAAAAAACACTAGATTTTTTCTCTTCATATATGTCCTAAAGGGATCTTGTTGTCATCCTTTTTTTTCTTTTTTTTTTTTGCTCTCAGGTACGCCTGGACAATTGCTCAGTGCCGAACCTGCGGTTCTCACATGGGTTGGAAGTTCACAGCCGCAAAGAAGGACTTGTCTCCTCCTCGTTTCTGGGGTCTGACACGCTCGGCCATGCTGCCCCGTATCCCCCAGGGCGAGGGGGAAGAGGGGAGAGATGGCTCTCGTCTCTTCTGTCTGTGATGTTGGACTATATGTATTTAAAAAAAACAGCTAAAAAAAACCTGCTAACCCCCTCAAACCTGGATCTTAAAATACACTTGCTGAAATTACATTTAATTATCAACTGCCCCTGGCATAAGATCCATCATATGGCGGATGGCTTATTTGGCTTTTGAGAGGCACTCTGAAACTGAATTCAAACAGGAAGCAGCCAGTGATTTGATGTTTTTGTAATGCAGAGACACGATAAGAGAACTTACTGATTCTGATGAAGTGAGGAGGAAATGGAGGGTAGCAGATAGAACAAATGACATGGTTACATCCCAGCATGCACCTCTGTCCAGCTGATTTCTTGCCGACTGCATACATAAAGACACTCATCTGTGCTCAGTGCATTCTTTTCTTTCATCTTCTTTCCTCTGTATGGTAAAGAGTGTGAATGCATGCAACTGAGATGAGGATATCTTTAGCAGGCAGAGTTAGCCACTATAATCAGTAATGAAATCAACCAGTTTATCCATATTCACTTTGAGATCCTTTATTGCCCACGTGTGTTTTCTGATGTCATTTGAGCTGTTGTAGGTCTGTAGAGGAAACTGTTGGAGCTAAAGTGAACTTCTGTACGTGTAGTTCTGTCACTAGAGGAGATATTTTGAATCTTGGAATTAAATAGGATGTATTTTTATATGCAAGAAGATTGAAGAAGTAATTTAACATACTTATCCAGGTGTGCTTTGAGTGTAATATACTTGATGTAATCTGTGTCTGTTTTGTATTCAAGGTAGGCTCATTGTCCAATCAGACAGTACGCTCTGGGGAAACAAGCTTTATCCCTGGTTGCACATGTGAAAATGAGAGGAGTTTGATGCCTTGATGGCAGACTTTTATTTTTTTAAAAGAGCTTATCAACGCAGAGAGCGAGAGGAGCATTTCCCTGTCTTCATTTGAGTTTCATTCTGTGTGGCACGTTACAATGGTGTGTCTCCACCACATATCAGTGTCTTTTGATAAGGTCGATGAATCAGTGAACCCCAGACTTGAATGAAAGATTGTAAACGATAAAGTGATGGAAAGATTTAAAATATATATCACATTTTTTCTGATTGTCTTTGTTTTATGGTCCCACAGTTTTCAGGATTTGATTGCTTGCACTTTGTTGCAAGTCGCTGGCTCTCTTTATTCAAATGTGAGTGTAAATAAGAGGCAGTTCAAGCATTTGTTCTGTAATATAACTGGTGTTTTTACTGTTAAAAGAGTCCGACTCTTATTTCACATATCTCCTTGTGTCTCAGAGTATTGTTAGAAAATAATTTATACATTTCAATTTTCTTTTTGAATGTTCTCCTTTTTTTTTTTCTTGTGGAACAGTTTTTTTTCATTACATAGGAAACATAGTTTTTAAATACCGTTTTTGTTCTCATTGAACAATTAAGATACATCCTGTAAGTTAGTGAGATCTAAGGGACCTGGTAGAAGAAAGCTAGCAGTTTAAATGATCCTACAGATATTAGAGTGGTGTTTCACACCATGTATGGCATTAAAGCTAATTATCTTAATCGTTAAGATCTCACAACTAGTCTTTAAATAGGGGAAATAAAGATGTTTACATGTTATTCTTAAAGCCTGAGCATGGTGTTGTGCGGTTGTACAGTTATGAGTTGTGTCTAGTTTTTGATCCGTCTTCCTATTCCTGTCCTTTCACTATTAGACTATAATCTAGTATTATAAGGCTGCTCTTCTTCAACAATCTCAGACACTCAATGTACAGTTCAAAAAAAGATCAAAATCACAGATATTCTACATTTTGTCAAATGCTTTCCTTTGCCAAAACTAACTCCTACATTACCCACGATGCAATTTGACCACATTTCCCCCACCCCACTTCAATGTCCTTAAAACCATGAGCCTCAGGTAGAGATGGGTAATGAGCCTCAGAGGTCTACTTTTTTTTCTTGGGTGCTGGATTAACGGTTTGTAGAGCAGGCACCCCATGTACAGAGGCTAGTGTCCTCTTCGCTGTGGATGAATGATTCATTCATGGTCCTGATGCTGTTTGGTAAATGTATACCCCACACTCTCTCCCTACATTTCCTGTCTCTATTTAGCTTTCCTGTCAAATAAAGGCCCCAAAAATAATCTTTACAAAAAGCTAACTTCTTTGTAACTCAAAAATCACAGATTTTGTTCATTCGACTTTGTATCATTTCTTTTACATAAAACCCAACACACACTACCTCAAGTGACACCGTTAAGACTTTTAGATTTCAGAATCCACTACAGGTTATCTACAACTTTTCTTCAAAAGTTTTCCCCAAGAAACTGATAACAGGCTTTTAAATATGAACTTGGTGCAGTTTCTCTTAAATGATCAGAAGATTTGAGCTTAGATCACATATTTATATTACTTACATTTTTAGAAACATTTAAGATAAGATAAGACAATACTTTATTGATGCCCAGCGGAGAAATTAAAGTGCTGCAGCAGTAAAAGACAAGAAGAAGATCATGCATATGAGTACAAATACAATAAGAATATTTTAATCAAATTGAAATAAAGATTAAGGTACTATGTGTTTACAACTATTATAAGCAAGAATTAAGTAAACTACACACCAATTAAAATCTTAACTAAATACTAAAAACTATACAGGACATTGAGACTTATTAAGTGGCAATTGCAACAAATAATTTCTCCATGAGAATAATCTAAATCATGTGTTAGTTAACTTTTGATGATATTCACTGCAAAATCATGTGCCTGGTATTCTCTATCTAAAGAAAGCATGTTTGATTGTTTTAACCTTTGACCTTCATTGCACCACAGAGTACATAAACACGCAGTTACCCAATTGTACACTTGTACATCAGCCTTTTGAGGGTCAATGTGAGTCTTAATGTTTTGGGAGTGAGGTGCTTGGTTCTTCCTTTGAGACTGATCTTTAAAGGCTTGTTTATGTAAATAAGCGTCCTCACAAGTATCTAAATATTTCCAGCCACAGACTAATCAACATGCGCCATCATTTTGTTTGTGTGCTTTCACGTGTCTGCACAACACTCCTGAGTTCGCAGTTCATCAGTGTTGTGTGCAGATACACAGGGACAGAGGATCATTTGGATGCAGAGCACAGTGAGGGCCTAATGAGTCTCTTTGAGTAGGAATGGTGCCTCGAAGACCATGCGAGGGTCCCTCGGAGAAAAGCATTAATAGTAATGATGTTGACAGGATTTTGGGCATGCAAGGTGTGACTTCTCATTGCTCTCCACTTCAACTGTATACTCATAATACACCAGGCTTGTTTTGTGGCTTTGGCAGTGTTTGTGTCTCTCTGCTTCTCTCTAGTAAAGTTATTCGCCTCATTCGTCTTTTGTTAAGTGTTTTTGTTGTTGTCTGTGGCACACTCTCTGTTTAATTGATTCTTTATTGCATTTGCACTTATTGAAAAGTGTTTCATGGTCAAATTTTTTTGATTAAGGGCGTTAATGTCATTCATGATAAGGTGAACTATTTCAAATTTTTCAAATGATGTAGTGTGTAAAATGTCAAATGATTTCCAGAAAGTAAGCCGTTTCATCGAATCAACAAGTCTTCTATTCATTTCTGCTTGATTATTTATATGAAAAATTAATAATTTGTCAAATATGTTAATTAATTAAGTCATTTATTTTAATATGCATTCTACCATCTTCTTTGAATCAACAATATAATCACAAAAACATCATCCATCACACTTTAATTTCAAGTTATTCTATATTGAAACAGCTTGTTAATTTTATCAATCAGTGATTAATCTAGATATACTCACTAGAAGGTTTTTTTTGGGGGGGGGATTTAAATACATTTCCTAAATAATCTGAAACCCTGATTCTTCCCCCTGCTGAGTCCCTTTACACTTCCTTGCTATTCGATTTCCATGAATCTTTCTCCTCAGCATTGAATTGCTCTTTCTCTTTGCCCAGTCAACTGCCAAAATGAAATTTCAGTAAAAGAAAAGAAAAAAGTAAAGGACTCAGAATAATGGAAAGTTTGGTTCAGAGCAAACACTGTCTCGTGATGAAGACGGTGTGATGGAGTTAGAGCAAATGAGGAGCTTAAGTGGAAATTGTAACGTCACCACCACATATCTTTGGGCTATAATGTGCTTATTATTTACATGTGCTGTAAGAGGTCTGTCTCTACATCCGTGTGAGCGTGGCTGTTTAAGTGATGCATGCACACACTGAACCAGGCATCATTACTCTAAATCTAGCTTGATATGATTATTTTAGCCTTATGTAACATAGTTAGTGGACTAATAATGATAGCTTTCCATATTTAGATCCTGCAATTTTTTAAGGTTAAAAGGTTAAATATGTTAAGTTCATACGACTTTCAAAGACATCATTTATTGAATGTATGAATGTATACAGATGGGATGAGTTAATACTACTGGACATGTCATAGCATCCTCTGCCACAAGTGTATGAATGTGTTTGTGTAAAGGGGGGAATGTGACATGTAGAGTAAAAGCGCTTTTACACTGGGTGGTCAGAAGTCTAGAAAAGTTCTATATAACCTTTTATAAAACTACCATCTATTTCCGATCAATGGATGAATTTCATCTTTGACCCAAGTCAATGTGCAGATGGAAATAAAAATGACTACATTCCCTGTATGCTGTGTGCATGTGTAATACTTTTCAGGCTGCCTTTGGTATGCTGCTCCTTAAAAATGAAAATCCTTCTTCCTGAGTCTCTCTTTTGACTAATCAGATCCTGCACATACCAGACATACAGCAGGTTTAAACCTTGCTAGTATCTTACATGCTTCCAACTGTTACATACATGGAAAATGCAAAGGTGCACAATGTGATCCTGTGATACAAGTACACCTAATGCATTCAGTTCAAACACATTTAATTTACACATTTAATAGTGAATACTATGAACACAATGGTGTTGCTTCATAGCCAGTGGATTTACAAAATAACACATTAAATAAAACACAAAGCCTCTGTTACAACATGACTTTATTTATTGTTTATCACATACAGTCACTGATTGTGTGATTTGAACACAGAAAACACAACAGGTAATAGTTATAGAAGTCAAAATGTATTTCATAGTGCAGGTATGTTACAACAACTTTGAATGTGCTGGTTCCTGTTTTGGCTCTGGCCCCTTATTTGCATTTTATGCTTTAAACATTTTGTTTTTCCCATGTGACACAGTTTTTCTTGGTTTATCACTTAGTTAAAGTGTTAAGCAAGAAAAACTACAAGCTACAGACACAGCTAAACTTCTGTTACAGTCTCTGACCTCAACTTAAAAGCCGGTGGTTGAATTTGATCAACAAAAACAGCAGTGATACCAAACACAACATAACATTTCAATTGAATTGCTAAGGTCCTATTTATCAGCAGTTTCACTAAAGTCCAAATCAGGCTTCTGTTAAATATAATAAATATGTCTTATTTCACATCCAAACTGTCGTAGTCATTAGCCTACTATATGATGATTGTTTACAGAGTCTGAACAGATTATTTGCTTTCTCGAAGAGCACAGGTGCTACAATCCAACAGAACTTGACGAAGCTCACTTTTCAACATCTGAAGAGCAGTTCTCACTCCCAGTCACATGCTTTTATTGAGTGAAAGCTTCTAAGACATGTCATGTTTTCATATGCCAGAGAAACATAGACACAATTTGTCTTGTCTATTATATCCTGTTCAGAAGAACAGTCGTATATATATATATATTATTATTTATTTTTTTACAGTAAACGCGTTAACGTTATTTAGAATCAGAGACATTCCTAAAGCTCATGTATAACGTGCTGACCAGCGTCGCATCGTCATGCATTGAATCCTTACCCCCCGTATGTCTCTGGCAAAGGAGCGTGAGCAGCCTCTGGGGAAACTGTCCACTGAAAAGCATGTAAATGCAGGGATTTGCGCAGCTGTTCAGACTGGCCAGCAGCATCAGGATGGTGAAAGTCGCAGCTGTAATGAGAGAAAAAAATGCATTCAATCGTTATGCGTTTGCAAAGAAGTGTCACTTCCCCACCTGTTAAATACCTTTTTGGCTTTGTGCGTAAATACGCATTCCTCGGGTAGCGCGGAAATGATATTTTGGAATTACTGATCTTTTAAAAACAATCTCTTAAAAAACACCTAATAAACTTGTACATATATATCCACATAAGACTGAGCAGTCGGAAATACTTCGAAACTTACTTTCTTTTGGCGCATCTGAGTCCCAGGCGGACCAGAGCTGGACAGTGAAGAATGGAGCCCAGCAGACAATATAAACCAGCACGATAACGACCGTCATTTTCAGTGTCTTCACTCTGGCCTTTGACATGCCGGCCACACCGCTGGCTCTGGGGGGCAGTGGGAGATTCACGCTGCCCTGCTGTGTAATCTTTTGGTATAGGTTAATATGGATGGCTCGGCAGATGCGCACTTGGCAAACAAGGACTGTAACAACAGGTAAAATAAAAATGACTAGCGTGGTCCAGGTTATATAAGTCTGAAGCCCCCATGGCTGGATGAATTTAGCCCAGCAGTCAAACACACCGGGTGCAACCTCGACCCGTGAGAAGATAAAAATCTGAGGCAGACTGCCCAGCAGCGAAATCCCCCACGCGATGATCACAGGGATGTTCAGTCTCGTGCGCGTCCGCTGAAACTTCACCATGGGGTTGCAGACAGCTTGATATCTGTCGACAGTCATCACCACAATCATGTAAGTCGATGAAAACATCCCGAGTACTTGCAGGTACTTCACCAGGCGGCACACCAGGTCTGGTCCGACGAATCTGTCTGTGATGTCCCACATGAGCTGCGGGCACACCTGGAAGAAAGCGACCACAAGGTCCGCCAAGCACAAGTGGAAGACGAAGACGCGCATCCTGGTCATCTGTTTGCGCTGTCTCCACAGGACGAGAAGCAGGCCGGTGTTGAGGATGGAGGCACTGACGAAGATGACACTGAGCAGCGCTATCTCCACCCGGGCAAGAAGGTCATCTCTCGCCACGTCCTCTGCATCCACTAATTTACTGGCGTTTCCAGGACGCATTATCGTGGTGAAAGAGTTCAGACTTGACCGAAAGCCGAAGCTAGCCGAAAAGAGACTTGAAGATAACAATAATAAAAAATATTTAAAAAACATATATTGTTGTGATAACGTTTTTATTTTACTAAATGATATGGTATTAACCGAATCTGTTAAATATATTCAAATCCCCTTTTTCCCCCAAGAAAAGTTTTGTACATTTTAAAAGACCCTAAAATGTTTTATCTTAAATGCTTATTATATCTCAAGCTAAAGTGTTAAAGTTGGAATGATGTCTAGAGACGTCTTGCACGTCAGGGTCCCCTCATCTGCGCCCATGTTTTATGTGAGGACAAAACTGGGTGGAGCTTATTACCTTCCTTAAGTGCGAGACAAATAAGTTTTGATTTTCTTAATATGTGAAAAAATAAAACTTGTTACTCCTTTACTTAATGTCTGCTAATAATTTATATTTTTACTTAACTGGCCTAAATAGATGCTGAGTATCATACACTGTTTTTTTTTCAGTAGCTTTGTCTTAAGTAGTCCTAATATTTCACCACAACCTTGATTAAAGCCAGAGTTGGCTAAAAATAACAATCGGTAAAAAAAATTATTGATCCCACTCCTTCAGTGATTTATTTCGAGACGTCATTGTAATTGCTTGTCCTTCCTCTTCTGCTGAAGCGCAGCTTCTGAAGCTCACTGATGACGTCATGTCCTCTTGACCAATCACAACTCAGAATGGTTTGACGTCCCAGGAATTTCAACAGGAAGTGTTTGTAAACAAAACAGTGGAGATGAAGACCAAGGAGTTCTCCCGCTGTGGTGTCGCGGAAATAAGTGCTTAAGATTGTTTTTATAACGATGTAAACTTTTTGAGAGATCGAGTGACACACTTGTTATTGTCTCGAGGATCTTAGCGTGTCGTCAAAAGACTTCCTACATACTTTGCCGGTTAGCTTCAGGCTAAAGTTAGCATAACAGTCTCGCTGTGATAGTTGTGTAGGTTTGTCGTTATTGAGCAGCTAGCAGTAATGCCGCAAGAAGGAGAGCAGTCTCTCCCCCTGGTGAGGTCCCTGAACAGTCTTATACCCATTAAGGTTATGTTTTGTAACCGCACCCATGGAGTCGTACGACCGCTGTGGATAGACTTCCGCGGGGAACCTAAGGCATACCCGGACTTACGGCCAGGAACAGGGCGGGAAATGAACACCTTCATCGGTAAGGCATCTGCAAAGTATGTTGGAGCATGTGGTGCAACCTTCTCTGAGATTTGCGTGTGTTTCAAGGTCATCCATGGATGTTCAGGGATGCAGAGACAGATGAGCTGCTGAAGGTAAACAGCAAAGAACTGTATCTCCCTAAACCAGCAGAGGGTGCGTTTGCCAATATCACATTACCAGGTAAGATTGAACAAATAACTCAACATGTTAGGCATTAAAATGGTATGTGATTAATTCACACTAAAACATAATCTGAAAAGTAATTGTATGATATATGTAGACAGTTGTACAGTTATACTTGGTAAGAATGAACAGGACTTTATTGTTATGATGGCCTGAGTATGTTCATCTGGCACGCTAACATTCATGTGAATAAAAGCTACGTTGGGAACTCATGATGACTCCTAGTCAATAAAACCACAGTAAACAGTGCAATAAGGAAGAATATCGGCCCACACACCTGCTCAAATGCCTATCTTCTTCTTCAGTCTGCTGTTTTTGCACTGCCCTGAACCTATGTGATGTGCGTATAATTCCCTCTTTTTTTCTAGACAGTGCAATAAGCCCTACTGTCTTGACTAAAATATTGTACTTGTAGTTTTGCACTTTCCCCTTGAGTTGGCTTGTGGTACTCAAAGCACCCCAAATTACACAAATCATCTTTTACATAAAGACACAAGTGTTGCAGAGTAATTAAAAAAAAAAAAAAAAGTGAGAAATGAGAAATATATGCAAATGCAGCAGTATCAGTTCACAAACATTCATTATTAAAGATAGTTCTTTAATTATGTCATTGAATTTGGTCTTTCAGTACAAATCAAACATGGCATAGTCAACAGTTGCAGTGCAGTATCCAATTTGTTTCCATGTTTTAGTTTGTCCTGAGAAAGACTACAAAGAAAGTAGTCTCAGCATTTCATAACATTTCTCTAACATCTATTTGTTCACTTTATATAGTTTACAGTCTGAAGGATCGTGCTCTTCAGGTCATTAGGAGCCTGGTACGAAAGGAAGACTACAGGAGTTTGGAAATAGCAAGAAGTCTCCAAGAGGAGCTGGAGGATCAGCCCAGTGTCTCGAAAGATCTGCGTCGTGTGAATCAGCGCGTGGAGCAACATTTACAAGAAAGGATCCAAGGCCAGGAAGAATGAGGCATGAAACTGGATGGTTTAGCAGTCACTTATTCAGAGCAATATCTAATTTCATACCATTAGAAAGCAAAAGTGCAAAAATTGAGAGCGAAAAAAAAGTTAAAGTCAGTATCAGGGGGAGTAAGACGCTGTAAATATGTCTTGGGGAAATATTACATGTGCTGCAAAATTTGATCTGCTACCTTATAAAACATTACCCTTAGCAGAAAAAATACCCATATGTAGCTGGGACCTTTGTAAGAGTATTTTTTATATTTTATTATAATAACAGCAATTTAAATGAATTTTATTTTTAAACTGTATAATGTTTTTCAAGAATTGTGCTGTTTGTTCATGACAGCCCACTACAGGAAGAGACCCTTTGATGTCTCACATATGATAATTTCTGACATGGGCTTTTCTTCTTATTTTAGAAGAATGGATGCTGTATTTTAATGTCTTTTGCTCTAAATGTAAAAAACTGAAATATCCTATAATAAGAAATATTTGCAGTCACATTGGTCATAAATTTAAAAACGAAAATAAATAATGTTACAATTCCATTGAATTGTTAAGAAATCATCAGCAGATAAAAGATCACTCAATATGTGGAAATTTGGAGCTGATTTCCGAAAAGAAAAAAACAATAAACCTCTCCGTACTGTTTCAACAGGAATCGCTTTTTCGAACTTTGACGATAAGATTTTTTCTACCCAGCAATTATTTGCCTTGTTGATATTTTTCATACATTGTTTTTTCGTTCCAATGAATACTTGTTTTAAAAATAAAAAGATATATTTCTTATTGGTTGGACGTCTCTGAGGAGTTTTTATTATAGTGGTTTGCCTAACCTATACACATACAGGGATTAATAACTACCCATGTAACCATAAATACAAGATCACAACAACAAATGATTTATTATAACATGGAGAGGTTATGAAACAAAAAACAAGCTATTATAATGTGCTCACACAAAATGATCACAATACACAGTTTCTGTTTGATCATACATAACCTATTTTAGGTAAAACAAATTTGACCCAATGTTTTAGTTTATTATTTAGCTTTTCATATTTATTGTTGTTAAGCAGTCATGCAGACTAAAATATATGAAATAAAAGTACATTATTAAAAATAAAGGGTAATCATTATTTCTAACTAATAAAATGTGTAAAGTTTTGCATGTAATGTATTATGTGACAGTTAAAAATGAGTCTTCATGTAATTAATAATTGTTAAAGCCTGCTGTTTATGTTCACAGACAAATGTAAAGATGTCAATCCCAGGGGATGTGTCGAAGTCTGAAATTATTACCTTGTCCAGGGTATTGCAGCAGGGTGTCTTTTCCAAGCTGTTGCTTAGCAACAAAGTAACACAACCCATCTTTGTTTGTGTGTGAATTGAAGTGAGCAGTGAGCAGCAATAGCAGGAATATGCAGGCAGGGGAGAGGAGCAAAACATGGGACTCGAGGCGTTTCAGGCCAGAGAAGTAGGTACTCTGTCTCTGCAAAGAGCTTTCTTTCACATACATGTGCAGTATTTGTTTTGCAGTTGAGATCCAGTGTTAGAACTCATGAGTTTTTTCTTTTTCTTCACCAGCTTGACATATTGGAAAAGGAGTCACCCAGTAATGTTTCCACATCTGCAGACAGACCACTGGAGCAAAATGAAAACAAAGGTGTGAGAAAAAAACAAACATCATTTATAAACTAACTTTCATCTGAAAAATTCACACACATAAACTATGTTTCATTTCTGAGATAATATACACAGTTATTCCCACTTAGGTTCCAGTTTATCTTGCATCACTTCCTGCTGCCTTGATGAAAGACAGAGGTTTGTAAGAGTGACCCAAATACCCTAATATATTTATAAAAGGAGGTGGTAAGGAGAGCTTTGTACAGAGGAATATGTGTCACTAATGTGGCTTTCTTGCATGCCTTATAGTGTATGACTCACAAGAAGGAGCTCTGCACCACATGTTGCCGCCTCTTACTTGGGGTGAAAATGCAGTTAATCAAGTTACCGGCATGGTGCAAAGAGCTGGTACGTACCAAAGAAATACGATTTTTAATTGATTATTTGCTTTCCTATAGTTTCATTAATAGATGTATTTCTGTAGGCATGCATCAAAATGCACCAAGCACCTCACCCCGAAACATGCCACAGTACAGGAATGTGTACAATGACCATGCCCGGAGGAACTTCTGCTACTGGCTCATTGAGAAGAAGGGCTTGACATGTGAGTACTAATTCAAGCTCTGAGTGCATTCAAATATCATGCATGCAGTAACTACTAGTATGGTGTGGTTTTCACACTCAATAGTGGCAAGGAGGTGTAAGATCCATTATATATCAATGTCTTGCATTGCTGTTCTTGCTGCTCAGCCTTTGAAGCTTTGAGGTTTGCAGAGTTAACAGTGACTCCTCCCTGCTTTGTCCTAATAACTGACTTTGGTGTATTGTTTCAAACAACATTGAAACAGCATACTGCAATAATGCAAACGATATTATCAAGTCTATTGGTTATTAGGTTAAAATTTCTCCGCCTTTCTATCTGTAAGGAAAATCATCCTCATCTCTATTTCATAAAATAAATAGAAACACTACTTCAAGTAATGATCAGTGTTTAAGAGTGGAAACAACATGTCTTGAGATTTAAAATAACTGATTATTTGCATCCTCGTTGGTCTACACAATGATCACATCACTGATGAAGCTTAATTTCTTCCTTACAGGTAGAGGATACAGCTTTGGTGCCTACAAGACCTGTCTTGGATTACCAAAAGTCTAAGAAAAAGTGTGATGATTCTAAGCCCTCTGTCCCCATTTGTTAAAATCACTTTTAATTAAATAATTTTAAAGATGATGTTAACTAATCTGAAATTTACCAGAGTGTGTCCACATTAAGAAGTGGTTAAGACAGTTTACATTTCTTAATGGAAACGTGTGTTGAAATATAGTCCTTGGGCATTAAAAACAGCAATGTGATCGTTTGGATAATGTGTAAAATAACACAGCTGACCCATTTAATTAAAAAAAACCTAAAATATAAAACATCAACTGAGCTTTTGTGAACTGTATGTTCCTCTTTTCTGAGCAAGAACCAAATATTATTTAATGTAAACAGTTTACGATGTATTTATGAAAGGAAATTATTGTTTCTCTTTCTTGAGTAGAATCTGTAGGCAGTAAATTAGCTAGCATAAGTGTTAGATAAAGATAAAGTTTATTGATCCCCCATGGGGGACATTTGTTTGTCACAACTCTCAAGAAACAGGAATATAATTAGGAAGTGAGAGGGGTTGTCCATGATGGATGTCAGCTTCACTAACATCCTCCTCTCACCCACCTCCTCTACAAGTCCAGAGGACAGTCCAAGACAGAACTGGCCCTCCTGACCAGTCTGTTCAGTCTCTTCCTGTCTCTCTCTGTGCAAAAGGACCTCAGTCACCTCAGCAGGTGAAGTCGACTTTGGACTTTCTTGGACAGGACGTCTGTGTTGTGTGACCAGTCCAGTTTATTGTTGAGGTGAACACCCAGGTATTTGTATGTCTCCACCATCTCAATGTCCAAGCCCTGGATGTTCACCGGTGCAGTCTGGGGTGAGTCCTGCGGAAGTCAATCACCATCTCCTTTGTCTTGCTGGTGTTGAGCTGAAGGTGGTTGAGCTCACTCCAGTCGACAAAGTCCATGATGACCTGCCTGTACTCCTGTTCGCTCCCCTTAGACACACACCCCACGATGACTGTGTCATCTGAGAATTCTGCAGGTGGCAGCTCCCAGAGTTGTAACTGAAGTCTGAGTTGTACAGGGTGAAGAGAAAAGGGGAGAGAACTGTCTCCTGCGGGGCCCCTGTACTGCAGACCACCATGTCAGACTCAATAAACAATGGAGCCATGACTGAATAGGTCTCCCAAGGAAGTTTTAAAGAGTCCACAGAGAAACAAAAACAACACCAATACTCCAAAATTGGAGTTCTACATTCTCTACTGAATTTTTTATGTTGTTTATCTTTTTTTTTTAGTCGCCATATCTCCTTTCTTGCGCCTATCAATGCAAAATTTCGACTTAATATACCCTGTTAGAGAGTGAGTCTGCTGCCGCTGTTAAGCTAAATCTCGTTGAGATCTGATCTCGCGAGATGTACATTTGGCGCGAACCAGGACTTTACCACCATCTAGCAGTTAATTCGAAACAAATACTTTATTAATCAATTAAATATTAAACGTGCCATTCAAAATTCTGTTGGTACGCGTTGTTTCATTGAGAAGCCACTGAGCTGTCAAAGCCGACTGAAGAAGCGCAGTTAAAGTTTGTCTGTGTGTGGACTTGTGACAGTTCTTCCATCAAGTGCTCAAAGTCCAAGAAGGTAATTTAACAACTCTTCAAAATTATTTTTTGCTGGATTAAAGGAGCTAACTGGCTTTGTTTTTGATAAATTAGTGTAAACTCATAATATATTTCCTATAAATTGCGTTTCTGTTGCAAGAACATTCAGCTGATGTTAGCATCAAAGCTAAAGTGATGAGGCTAACAGTCTCAGGCGGTAAAGTTGACCTGAGACCAGGTCCGACTGTGTTTCAACACAAACCCCCGAAATATTCAATCATACGACCATACTTCTCTTCAAGCATAGTTTTACTTTTAATTTAATTTTATAGCTGAACAATGTATAGTTTACATGTCTACCTAGATGTACCTTTAGTTACATTTATTTGTTGCGCAATATGTTATTCGTCCTCTCATTTCGCCATAACTATAAACTGATGTAAAATGCACAATACAACAGCCTGCCTGCTTTGAACCTGTTCCTATGTCAACTTCTCCTGAAGTCCAATTTTTTAATGGATGATGTTGATCTGAAAACTAGTCTAGTTCCCAAACAAAGTCATAATGACAAAAATTGCAGCATATTGAATGGTGGACACAGTGGACCTGCTTTTGGTCTTTGAACCACCTCTGTCAGCATCATTAAAATAATACACCTAATATAAAATCAATTATTACGTGATTTGAACTGAACATATTCACTTGGTTAAAATTTTTTCCAAGGATGAACATAAGACACTCAATAAAGATTTAACAGCTAAAACATAAGCAGATAAACAGAATAAAGTGAATAACACACAGTATAAGATAAACCAAGATTTATTTTTAAAGTATAGAAGTGGTGGTGTAGATTGTGATCTGGACATAAGACCTGCTGAAAGATTATTTTATTAACCCAGTTTGCCTGCATCATGTGTTATATTGTTTCCCAGCCTGGGGTCCTATGGGGGGCACCTAAGGTCTCAGGGATAGCCAAGGCTCTGTCCGCTCTGAGGTTGTCAAAATTGGATTTGCACACATTTAATTAAATTATGTTAAAACAATACTGGTAAATGTGTACAAATGTATTTTGGTAAGAAAAAGTGTGTTGATTTTATCAATGAAAACTATTGAAATGTATGTTAATATTTGAAAGCAATATATATCTCTTTTTCCTTGCATGTCCTGAAGGGGCTCAGCTTTGATACAAGTAGGTGGGGGGGGCTCCAAGGAAAAAGGTTGGGAACCATTGTGTTCAATGGTCATACCAATGTGTTTTGTTAGTCACCTTTTTTTCTTACAGACATGAACAGCAACAGAAAGAAGTTGTCAATGAAGTGGCTACGAAAAGCAGTCACCTCACCAGCACACCTTCAAGGGAGAGATGCTGGCCCAGTCACACCCTCTGGCTGTAATATGTCACCAATTGAAGATTCTAAAACTTTGCCCCTCAATGATTCTCCAGGACCTGACGGAGTTGGAGAACTGAGTTTGTACACCCCAAAGAGAAAAGCCAGGGACCTCACTGACAGCGAGCCCTCCATTGGCAAAGTTAAGCTGAGGAAGCTTTCCAGGAGAAATTTTGAAAACTTCATGACCTCATCGGTAAATCTCAATGTGAAAATTACTCTGTCCATCTTCTGTTAGTACATCTACAATGTGTTTTTTTTTTTTTTTCATATCACAAAGTCTCGTGATTTATTTTGCATTATGTTCAATTCTTATTAGCAATTGCTTAATTATTTATTACTGTTTACTGTTACTAATATCAGGAAAATCCAATGGACAACTCATCTGAGCAGCTGGAATCCGCACCACATTCTTTCATCTTGAAAAAAAAAGAGAGGACACCTGAGGAGGGATCAAAGGCTATATACAGTAACGCATTGATTGCAGACATTGGCAGCACAATGACAAGACACAGCACTACAAATATCCCCAGGACTGACACTAAGAGCCTGTCTTTGCCATTTGAATCTTCACCAGAGACGACTGAGGAGACTGTTGACTGTTCCCCAATCAAATCTGATGATAGATATGAGGACAAGCGCGCTCTCCAGGGAGGTCAGTGGTATTTTCGTGGAGGGCGTGAGGGTAGAGGAGCCCAAGATGACAGCTCAGAGCCTAAAACAGCCACAAGAGTAAGTCATCTTTAAGCTGGGAGTCTATTTTTTTTTTCACATATATATAATCGCAAATAGTCTGTTATTTTTCATCTCTGATATTTAATTTTTGTTTATCAGCTATATTACATTTTTTTGAAAATAATAAGTGACCATATGGTGTAGTCATTAAGCCATTAAGTTTTTTTCTTCATGTTTTTAGAACTTCATGCTGAAAGAAGAAGATTCACCCAGGACACCTGTTGCTTTGGGTTCTGTGTTCGGAGAGACAACATCTCAAGATGAAATCCCCTGTGCTCTGCAATCTACTCAAATAGGAGATCATTGAACACTTACTTGAAGACTAACCCATCCAAACGCAGGCAGTCAGATTATGGCACTTACACGCGTAACCCCACTAACTCCCTTACTCATGGGGATACCCCCAGAAGATTATCCTTGGGGGCAGAACCTAGCCACCCCTACCTGGACGATCAGGTTGGTTTTATAGACACTCACTGCCACATAGACATGCTTTATGGAAAACTTGGCTTCTCTGGGACATTCAGCAGATTTCGAAGGCTGTATCACACCAGCTTTCCTCCAGAGTTTAAGGGCTGTATTGCTAATTTCTGCAACCCAGGGATCATGGTGAAGCAGGCCCTGTGGGAAGGTTTGCTGGCTGAAGACAAGATATGGGGGGCATTTGGATGCCACCCCCACTTTGCCAAATATTACTCGAGTGTCCATGAACGCAATATACTGATGGCGATGCGGCACCCGAAAGCAGTGGCATTTGGTGAAATGGGTCTTGACTACTCCCACAAAAACTCCACTCATTGCTCCAGGCAAAAAGAGGTAAGATCATATAGTATCAGGTCAAATTGAATGAAACTTAACAGGCCAGTATTCATCAAACTTTCTGAAACTCGACAGACTTCTATCAATATGAAGAGGTCACATATATTTGTGGGCTAAAAATGATGATTATGGGGGTGCGCTGGTGGCGCAGTGTCAGGGCGCGCGTCCCATGTGTTGAGACTCTCGTCTCGAGCGGTAGGCCCGGGCTCGCTTCCACCCATGGCCCCTTTCCGCATGTCAGTCCCCGCTCTTCCTCCCTGGTTTCGACTCTATCCACTGTCCTCCCTCTGAATTAAAGGCACGAAAAAGCCCAAAATAAATCTTTAAAAAAAAAAAAAAAAAAAAGAAGATGATTATGAAATAAATACCCACATATAAGACAGCCCTGATTATAAGCATCCCCCTTTTCAAGACTTACATTTTGAAGAAGAGGAAATACATTTTGAAAAGAAAATTATTTTTTGACAAAGATTTTAATTTTATTTTATACAATTTTATTTTGAAAAAAAAGTAATATAAACACATTGAATGAAAGGTCAGCGGTTGTTTTGAACATCATAAGTCATGTTTTTGATATCTTTTAGATTAAACTGCCACATTTCAGTATTTCCCACATAATAATGGTATTACTTACACCTGCAGAATCCACAGGGTGGAGAGTGTGTGCAGATCATCAACTAGTTAAGAATTACTTAGACACTGCAGATGTGATTGACAGCTGGCCTCAGTCATGAGCAGTACACTCACGGGTTTTATTTTTTGTATTTTTGTCCTCTTATATTTGGGCCAATGCTAAATAATTAATGTGGTAGTTTCATGTTTTGTGTCTTTTCCCTGTTGTGAAGGTGTTTGAACGTCAACTGCATTTAGCTGTGGCCATGCAGAAGCCTCTGGTGATCCACTGTAGGGACGCGGATGATGACCTGCTGGAAATCATGAAGAAATGTGTCCCAAGGGATTATAAAATACACAGGTACATGAACAAAGGAAAAATAACCACACACTTATTTCTTTATTTTGTAATTACATTTTCTAATTATTTCATGACATTTTATCAACATGAAAAATGTCAGTTACTCTCTTTTAATTCTCTCTTAGTTATTATCCTTAAGATGTTTAATATGTGTGATGTTTAAATCGTGCCTTTGATGGTTGTTATGGTTGTCATTTTTTCTGCAGTATTTTTCTTTGGTACTTACATTCAGTAATTGTCTCTGTATGTTGCAGTTGACATGGATAGTGGTAAAGTTACTATCATTGTGCTGTAATCAGATTGCTTACCTTGTGAATTGATAGGAAATAATGCAGCATTGTACTGTTTCTTTGAAGACGTCTATAGATGAAAAGTAACAGGATACATGTATTTGTAACAGAGGTAACACTGACCGTTAATATACGATAAAGAGTAACTAAACCCCCAGACCACTTTTTGGAGTCCCACCCTTGGCAGTCACCATGCTGATAATGCTGTCTCAACCTAACTTTCAGTCAACCTGACAACAGGCTTAGAGCCGAGGCTGTTTGTGAGCCTCTTGACAAACCGTTACATCGCAACCACCTGTCAATGAGGTCAGCTAGTAGCTACGCGCCTTATTGTGAATAACGCTTATCCTCCATAAAATCAAAATGAGTTATCAAGAAATTCACCCCTTGTACAGTGTGTGACAAAAGAAACATGAGCTAATCAGACCAATTTCCTTTCTTGAACCAGGCTGCAAATATGTTGATTTCTGCTGTAAAAATATAATTAAGTCAATTAAGTTAATAAATGTCATCTCAGCACCTGTGGTTGAGTGCACTGAGCACGCTCTGAGCGTATTTGCGCTTGGGACATAAATGCGAGCACAATATATTGTTGCTGCATTGACATTAAAAGCGATAGTTGTCTGTATTTGTTTTGTTCAGCTTCCTGTGTTAGTGGTTCAAGTGCGTGCGTGCGTGTGTGTGTGTGTGTGTGTGTGTGACATAGACCGTAAGATGTTTGGGCTGATGGTAACGGCATGAATGGGTGAGTGGGCATGTCTTCTCCCTTCCCAACTCCCTGCCCTGTCCATCTTGATACATTGATGTTCAAATTGTATTTATTTAAATTCCAGGGTAGATGCACTTTAGTCGAATCCTCGGGGATTAGTTACTCTTTCACGAAATTTTTTAAAATTGACAAGAGGGTCAGTTTATTTTTTCCTGCATTCACCCAATCAAACACGACTAAAATGTCATATCTTTTTATCAATCTGTGAATATTCTTTCTTGACTCCTGTATGGTTTCCAGGCACTGTTTCACAAACAGTTATCCAGTGATTGAGCCCTTCCTGACAGAGTTCCCCAACCTGTATGTGGGCTTCACAGCCCTGATCACCTACGCCAATGCCAAGGAGGCCCGTGAGGCTGTCCGCCAGATACCTCTGAACCGCATTTTGTTGGAGACAGACGCACCATATTTCCTGCCCAGGGGGGTAAGTTTAAGCCCAGAAATACCAAAACATTGCTGATTTGCAACTTCATGTTTTCTATTACTGTGAATGAATACAAATTACTCATTGAAGCAGCTTAATGTGAATTGTAATTGTAGCTGTTGAAGACATAATGAAATGTGTATAGTTCAATTGTATAGTGAAAGTGACTGTGATGCTAAGGTCAGCTCCTATTAGAACTCTTACCAAACAGCTCCTCCCAGAACAGATTCTGGTTTCTTTTGAAGCAGACACTTACTGTACGGTTATGGAAGTTCAGTGACTCTTGTGTAAAGTCTAGCTCAGACTAAAGGAGCTGAGTGCACCAGCTGTGTGTAAAAAAGTAGGTCGTACCTCTTATGTCTGACTTGAATACGACCGACTTCATGACTTAAATTTACACCGAGTGCACTCTAACTGAGTCTAACTGAGAAAGGTCGTAGCCATGTGAACATTCACAGAGCAACGAGGGTTGGCATGAAACACAATTCCATGCTTTAAGTACTTTAACGTTCTCACTGGACAACAATTACGTATGAGCTCTGTCATTGCATTGGATATCAGGAATTTGTCATTTTAAATAGATATCCTGCTTAGTGTTTTGAAGGTGGATGAAGTTCCTCAGTAGGCTCTGTGGAACCAAGGAAACGCTTCTTAAACCCAACAGGCAGTTGTCCGATGAACATAACTCATATCTCCCCATTGTGTTTTGAAACACTGCTAATGTCACTCTGCTCCGCTATCTTTAATTTCAGTCAATCACAAATGAGCACCCCACCAATTGTCTTTAGGCTACTAATGATGGCCTGTGTCGTAGTTTTCTTTAAATTGTTGGTTATGTATTACATACATAACAATATTACATATTGAGATAGAAAAATTGTTATAAAGTGCCATCAGCACCTGCAGGGCAGGGACAGCGCTGCGTTTCTGTCTGACGCATGCTGTAGCTGAGAGGAGAGCACTTTACTTCAAACATGGCTTATTGCCTAAAACAAAACATTTCAATCGGCTCACAGTAAATTTCCAGAGTGTGTCTGATCATAATTGACTCTCTCCCTCGTCTTAATGCCTTTTCAATGATCATGCTGTAAATGGGACACAGTACATGCTAATGTGTTGTGCTCTAAACAGGTTAGTAAAGGTGTCTGTCCGTTCTCACATCCTGGAATGGGCATCCATACTCTGCAAGAGCTGAGCCTACTGAAGCAGGAAGACATGTCAACAGTCATCGCCACCATCCGAGACAACACCACTCATGTCTACGGCATATGAACTCCATGGATAATGGATGTTAGCAAGCAACATTGATCAGACAGAATCGGTGTGCTTGGAGCAGACACGTCATGTGACTTTTTGTTCAAGATTTACCACCTCCACATCGAGTTGTCAGAATGTGGAGGACATGTCTTATTTAGAAGAACCAGGAAGAGTTGTTCATTTAACTTGTACAGAAGGAAAGTGGGGGAAACAAGACTGAAACAAAAATATCTTTTGATTATACTATTTGTATATGTCATTGTTTCTCTGATATATTTTGTGTTATTGTTCATCACTTATTTGATTCCTTAGCATTCTGTATTGTGAGTTGCTGTTCTTGCTGTGTTGTAATGTAACATCCCTGTCCTTGTTCTAATTTGGATGTTTGTGTTTTGCTGAAGCTGTTACGTCTGGTAAAGCGTGATAAATTGGACGTATTAAAATACTTTGTTGAAAGAGATCTTGTTTTCTTTATTCTGCAGATATGATTTGTACAATTTCTCTTTCATGCATATAAAGAGCAGCTGTTGTTGTTTTGAAGCGAGTAAAGTATCGTGTTTAATGCACTGATACAGACTCGTGTGGTGTTTTCCATGAGTAAAGCTTTTTTTTCTTTCTGAAGCCAGGAAGTGGATGAGAAGACTCCATTAGCTTGTTTTGATTCCACTGTGTCAGGTGCACACATTTGGCTTGAGTGCTTTTTATTTTGAGAATGATTAGCCTCTACTGCATGTGGCAGTTTCTGGTTGATGGACTATGCCATTAGAGGACTACATCAATGGTTTATGTGTCATTTGTACATCCTCTCTGACGGTTTGGATTTTGAGAAAATGCATATCTTCTCCTTTTTTCATGTTCCAAATGAAAGCCTTGAGTTTCAGAGCCTCTCCAGAATGTAGGTCAGAGCACTATGTGCTTTAAGAAAACAAAGTGTAGGGTAGTGCATCCTAGGCTGTGTTTGACCAAGTTCTTGAGATTTGAACAAAAAGTTTTGCAAACTTGCTGTATGAATTAGTGATTTGGGTTTTGCTCCAATGATTAAATCACAAATATTAGGCCTGTGATGTAAAGCTTTTAAACCAGTACTCGATCCTTGAGGACGGCGTGATTGTAATTTCAATATAAACATGCCGTCTGTTCATCAATCTTGTGGACAAATGCAAAGACTATAAAGTGCCACTTTTTTTTTTCTTTTTTTTTTTATCAAACTCTGCCCAGAAACTTATCTTCAGACAAATATGAAATTATAATTGGAACTGTTTTTACAGGTGCGTGTGTTACAGTACAAATATATAAACAGCTTGTTCAGAAAATATTATGCTGTTAAACCTGTAGGCTACATGCTTACATGCGGAATAACATCAGAACATTACTCACCTTTAAATAAGAGTGACTCATCTGTTGACAGAGAGGCCATAAGGAACTTTTTAGTTTATTCCAAAGACATAAACATGATCTGTAAAGCCAGTGTTTCATAAGGCTGCTTGTTATTGAGAAAGATTTTAGAATTTAATTTAAACAGATGCTTTTTACCAAAGCGACATCCAAATATTTAGAATCTTAATTAAAATGTTAAGCTAAGATTCTCAATACTAGCTGAGATTCTCTATATTTAGACAGCTAAATGTATACAAAAAATCTAATTAGCTCAAATTCTAAATAGTTAGAATCTTAAAATATTTAACTAGGATTCTCTACTTAGGATCATAGCTAAATATTTAGAATTGTGAGGTACTCTTAACATTAAGATAGAAGATAAAACATATACCATTTATATTTGCTAATGAAATTATCTTTTTTATTTATTTTCATGGAAAAGTAAATGTGACAAATTTCACAAATATTGATAGAAATGTTTTAGAGTAAAATGTGGAGAAATGTTATTTTTAGTGTACGCAACTTTTCCATTTGTCCCCATTGTGTCTGACTTGGATATGACTGACTTCACACCGCGTGCACCAAGTCTAACTGAGAACCCCAGGTTGTTTAGAATAGATTATTATTTTTGTCAACATCAACAGCTTCATTGTCAATTTCATCTCCTTGAATATTCTCATCAACACCATGCTCAATTCCATCATCAATGTCAGTATCAATAGCATTAGGTGTGTAGGTGTTCATGGAAGTGGTGGGTTTAGTTGTTTCCTAATGAAGGAAAAAGACTGCAGATCAAATGGAGTTTAGTTATTTAATCCACCGTCTGTGGACTACATAGAAAAGAGTCTTTACGAGACACTTAGGACCATGTTGTTAAAGGAGTAGGCGCCTTCATTGGCAGAGCGTAGTGAACAATGTAGTCAACATCCGTAAATATTGTGAAGAGATGAAGTCTAATATAGAACATATTGACTAAAAGCATGCCCAATATATGGTTCTTTCTTTTTCAGAACATCTTTTATTAATTATTTACACTGCCAGGATCATGCAATTCCCACCAGTTGGTGCAGCTTGCAAAAACTTAATATTTCTGTGGCAAGTAAGCAAACAGACATCAAACACTAAAATAAAGGTACGCCTCATAACAACACACAGCCTTTAAACAGGAAAGTAAAGTCAAGGGTGAGGAAAAAACAAACAAACCTCTCGGACTTGATTCATTTGTATCAGAATGGTTGTTCTCAGTACAGTCACTGCTCAAGGATGATCGAAGCATCCTGCTGATTACCATGCTGCTTTCTTCTGGAGAGACTTCTTTACTCAAGTTTTTGAAAGTTTGCTTTCTTTAATCACTTATTTCCTTTACAATAGTAATTTCAGCCAATATCAGTAAACTTGATTGTCCAAGTACAATTCAATAAGCTGATCCATACTGGTGTGATATCCTTGGAAGCTACACAGTAATGCAATTGTCAAACGATTCACATTTTTAATGAGTAATTGCAGAATTTCAAGTGTTAAACATGATTAATAGCATTTTTAATTCAATTTTTGAGTTCCATTATTTGCCCTTTAAACACAAAAAATGTTTGGCTTTTATTTTGAATGTCTGTAAGCCTACTGTCTAAAGCTGAGAGAACTTTCATTGCTTTTTGAATTTAACACTGCTTTTATTCTGAAATAAAGTAAGGGCATTCTGGTCGATCGAAGGTTACAACATTAACTTATTTCTCAGGGGGAAGCTAACCAAGGGTTGGTGAAGAAATCTGTTGGTGATCTCAAAGGGAGCCCTTGTCTGAAAAAACAGAGTTTTAATATTTGTGAAATTGCCTTCTACCACCACCAAGTGGCAGCCCAGGTTTCAACAGCTATGAAATCTTGCATTTCTCCCCTTTATGCTGAGTTTTGTATCACTGTCGGATTTGGTTGAAGAGCATTATTCAAACAACATATTTTAGCTTTTTTTCTTTGCTTTTTCAGCTTGAAAATAGAAAAAATATCTACTCTGCTTATGAGTGTTTTTTTCTCCTGCTTTATTGAAATGAATCCCAATAGTAGGATATTTATTTTGTTAAAAAAACAGCTATTCTCTATTAGCGCATGCTTGTCACATTTATTTTGAGATTAAAAAGTAGAAATTCGATACGAAAAAAAACAACTCAAATATGTGTCAAACCCATAAATAATATTGGTGAAACTTTGAATCACACACTAGGGGGCGGTGCTGCGGCTTTTCATAGTTGACCAGCCGCATTTGAAATGACAAAGAAGAAATACAGCCGATAGCACACAGCGACATTAGCTAGGAGATCATCTAGTTGCAGAGAATCTTAAAGATGGATAAAAAGAAGAAACCATTTCACGTGACTGCTTCATCTGTGAGTCCCTCGAGAAGCAGAGATATAAACAGAACTGATTATTTCTTCATTTTGTGACAAACACAGCTAGTGATATCAAACGGTGAATTTGCTTTGACGCCACATTAATGGCAAATACAGAGAGTTAAAATCAGTTTACAGTTTTATACTGTGCCCACATTTCGCTGATATATTTGTGTCCCACAGCTCGTGGATCTCAAAGCTGAACTTTACAGAAAGCAGGAACAATTTAAACAGGAAAAACTTGGACAGGAATCTTCTGCTGCTGGATGCCCAACAAAATCCAAAGACAAGGTACAGTATGTATTCATGTCAGGACACACTCTGACCTGCTTGTAATACTATAGATTGAGATCACCAGGATGTGTTGTCTTAATGCTTCTGTTAGAAATCTAATATCTGGAGCAAACAGAATGCTGGTGTTTCAGCAAGAGCTGAGAAAGATGCTGAGCAGCTGGCTGAGGAGCAGAACAGCCTGGAGACATCAAGGTGAGTCAGGACTGAGTTATACAAGACATTTACTGTCTTTCAATCATGGTGACCAACATCTTCAATTCCATGTTTATCCTCTTGTTACAGACAGAAGCTGGAGGAGAAGGCCAAACTCTATGAACAAATGACAAAAGGAGACTTTCCTGGTTGGTAGAGTAGAAATTGTACCTTCCTGATATGTATTTTTGTGTTATAACGTATATCATTTTGGGATCATATGTGCCTTTAATACAGATGAAGAGACAGAGGGACTGTTCCTGGTGGATTTCACCCAGAAGATAATCGACAAAGAGAGAGAAACGCTCGCTAAAAGGGAGACAGAGCGAGATGAGGAAAGACACTTGTTGTCTCTTGTCCCTCCTCCTCAAACCCCAGATGAGGAATGGTAACATCTGTTTCATTCTTCTTCTTTTTTTTAGACGTTTGTTCATGTGTTCTGCAGCTTGTTTGTTGTTCAGTAGATTATGTTTGGTTTAATTTTTGTAAAATGGTGTCAATACCTACAGCTGTTTAGCCACATATTGGATAATTAACTAAAGTGACATGTCCACATGAATAGGTCATTTTAAAGTTGATAAAAATGAGTGTGTTAATCCGATTGATTAGGAAAACACAGAGTGGTTAAAAGGTTTTTCTACAAATATTACCAAAACTGGTAGACTCAGTTTTCTAAATATAACTCTTTAGTCTAAAAATTGGTAAAAATAAAATGAATGTATGAAGTTATTATAATGTTTAAAGTATGAAATGTATTTTCTGACCTGTTTATCAAGCCGCTGTGTTGCTTTTGTATAGGGTGGATTATGTGGATGCTCTGGGCAGATCTCGAAGATGCATGAAGAAAGACCTGCCGGGTTTTAAAAAGATGGACCAAGACCTTACAGGAAAAGGGTAAGACACCAATTTATTTGAAATCTTAAAAGTTCTGGTCGATGGTTCCAGGGTTTTGGTGATTATGCTAACTCTTCTGAAAATGACACTTCCTTATAGAAAAGCCTCAACCGACAAGACGTTACTCTCAGAGGACATGCGTCGAGAGCTGCAGAGGCAGGAGTGGGAGAGGGAGGAAGAGGAGGCTATGAAGAGGCCTATTGGACCCATCCACTATGAGGATATGCGAGGACAAGGTATCTGTACCAAGTGTTTGTAAAACATGTTTGCACATATTTGAAGAAAGTGGTTTTACTTTGAAAAAAAAGTGTGCTGGAGAAAACTTTATCCTTTTTTTTTTTTTCCCCCTCAGAGGCTCGAGAGCTTGGTGTCGGTTACTTTGCATTCGCTCAGGATGAAGAGCATCGCAGGAAGCAGAGAGAGACTCTGGACATGCTCAGAGACCAGGTGACTGGACACTGGTCCCTTGACCGACACAAATATTAATTCTGAGTGTGGGCACTAAACTTTGTCACCTCGCCTTGGTATTCAACCGGCCCAAACTACAAGCAGACTTTCTCCTTTAAGCACACACCACAAACAGCATATCATCAATCGATTGGATTGACAGATGTTAACACGTTTGTTAAGTCTTCGCTGCATCTACTGTATGTTTCGTTCTTTACTTGTTCTCTTTGATGAATATCGGTTTCAGTCTCAACAGATAATCAACAGCCCTTTTAATGTTCTTTTTTTGTCTCTCTTCTACAACTGTTCCATCTTTCAGACAACAGAGCAGCGCAATAAGAGGGAACAGCTGAAAAACAAGAGGCAGAGCATCCTACAGGCCCGACTGGCCAAGGTGCGGCAGAGGAAGATAAAGAAGACCAAGCTGGATGGCACTGAGGAGGAGAATCAAGGTTAGAACCTCACATCAAATGTGCTCTGTCTGTTATTTAAAAGCTCGAGCTGTAAGTGCATACAGTCCGTGACGTGTTGTTAATAAAGGTTTTTATTGATTTGTTTTCTCAGAAGAGGAGAGGGAAGATGAACTGATAGGACCCTCTCCACCGCCAGAGGACCCTCCGGAGGTCAGCATATTGAAGAAAGTGGAAGTGGAGATCCAGGAAAGGAAGGACACTAAACCAGGAATTCCTCACGTGAGAGAGTGGGACAGAGGAAAAGGTATGGACCTGGAGCATGCACTACTATAGCTGTCGTACTGTTAGGGCTCCCTGCAATTTTCTTTGCAGTAAATTTAGGGGCATCATCTTTTGGCAAGACCTCGTCTTCTAAATCTGCAGGTGGCAAGTTAATTTGAGGGTTATATGTTTATTAGTGCACATCTTAATATCTATCTTCCCTTATTGTAAACCGTTTTATGGAAATGTTTTGAGACTTTTATAGTGAAAGAATACGACTTAATTTGGTAGGAATTTCACAGGTTTTCGACCAGTCAGTATGAAGGGGTTTCCAAGATTAAGGTTACTCCTACTCTTTTGTCAAATAATGTACTTTAGTAAACAGTAGCCTTTTTTTTTTTTTTTTTTCCTTCCAGAGTTTATGTTCAGTGAGTGGAAAACACGCCTCCGTGAAGAGCGGGACTCAGAATTTGCACCTCCCTCTGCGTACAATACGGAGCAGATGAGAAAAAAACCCGAGAGGAATACATCTTACAAGAATAAAGCTCAGATGTCTTTCAAGTGGACCAAAGGCCCAGGAGGAGTCTCTGACAACAAAGGAGAGCCACAGTCTCAGCCTCAAACTGCTCCCCCCTCCTCCTCCTCCTCCTCCTCCTCCTCCTCCTCAGCCACAACAAAATCCTCAATATTCTGCACAGCCACAGACCTCATGGCAGGCACCACTTTCAGATCAGCCAGCAGGTTCAGCTCCTGTGTCTGCTCCTGCTTTCATTCCCCATTATCCCCCTCCTATGTTTTATCCTCCCTTTTCTCCCCAGTTCACTGGACCACCTCCCCTGCTTCCCCCAGTTCCCCCTCAGTACCCAAACCAGTATTTGCCCCAGCAGCAGAACCAGTCTCAGCCTCAGCAGCCCCCCCAGCCTGCAGATCTCAGTCAGGCCAAGCAGCCTGGGCAGAGTCTGGACGACATGTTGTCCTTCTACAGAAACTCTTTCTGATCTCTAAAATCTCATGTATGCCATTTCGTTGTTTTCTCAACTATTTTTAATTCCCCCCCTTTAATAAATATCAGGCATTTAACGTGATACTGTTCTCACATATCTTTTTTTTCCTATTGTGAAAAATACTGTTGATATCTAAGACATATTGAGCCTCCACCTTATGAAGATTACAGTTGTAAAATCATAAGTCTGGACAGAGTATTAACTTGCAGTAAAAAAAAAATATCCTCCAGGTGTCGCTGTGCCCCTGCATGCTGAAGAAACATGCAAGTGACCAAAGTGATTTCTCTTCATTTTTAAAGGAACTAACTAACTTTTCTCTCCATTAAGTGGTTCATTATTCTGTCTTTTGAAGATCATAGATTATTGCAAAATGTCCAAAGATTTCTAGAATCTAAGATGACGTGTCACGGTGTGACACAAGAGACAGACGAGCAGAATATCTTAGACAGTGGAGGGAAAGTTTTTCTATTTCTGGTGAATAACTGATCTAAATCATTTTTGATCATTAAAAGGTAAGTATTACATGCATTTTAAATATTTAAAATCCTTCTTCACAGGGTAGTCAGAGTTGTCTTGTAATACTACAGAGGAGCGCCTTTTTTTTATTAGCTACTCCCCATTGTGTTCAGTGTTGGTCATAAAGGATTTTCATATTCTCTTACTTTCACACATTCAGATGGGCTGCTTGTCAGGCAGGGCAGGCATTTGCTTGGGGCCACTGACTGGCTGAGGGCTGACTAACTTTAAACTACAACAGTGGAGAGACACCTGAAAAGCAAAACTTATACTAGCAATGGCATATTTGTTCTTTGACATTTAACATTGCTTTACTTCACTAGCAGTGTGAGAAAAGTGTCTCTGTGTGTTCCGCTATCTGTAACTGAGTTGAAAAGGCATCCATCACCAAAATCACCATTGGAGGGGCCCCTGTTATTTTTGCCTTGTGCCCCAACTGACTATAATTGCTGCTGCAACATAATACAGTAAAGACTGCAGTTCTCACAACAACAGAGAAAAGTTATGAAAATGGTGATAAAACATTGTTAAAAGCACAGATAAACCTAGAGGACCTCAGTGATTCCCCCCCCCCCCACCCTTCATTACAATCATGATGTTGACCTTTTTGCTTGTATACTTTTATTTGGTTCTGAATTAAATGTCTGAGCAACATCTAATTTCCCCTGGTGCCCTGATGGGTCTAAATTGTAATTTGGCCATTGAACTTGTTTCTGCTCGTACACTTTCTTAACGAGTAACATCCCCACCTCGGCTGCAGTGCTTTTTTTCTAATTAACAAGTGGTAGCATGCTAAAACACTCAATAAAGATGTGAATGTGGTAGGAATTATAGGTGCTAAACATTAGCACATTAGTGTTGCCATATGAGCGTGTAAGCTTCCTTGTGTTAGCACTAAGCTCAAAGCCTGACTTTGTACAGCCTCACAGAGCTGCTAACATGACTTTACACTCTTCTGCTGAAGCAAAGGTATTCCATTTGTATCTTATCTCCAACCAGGCAGGACACGACAACTAATAAAATATGAAAAGGATAAGCAACTTCTCCAGGAAGCAGGAATTCAGCTGTGTTCCTGCTTAAAACTAAAATATTGTTGACATTACACATCCTAAACATCATTATGTTAGCATTTCGCTCAAAGCTATGCAGAGTTACATGCATGGCTGTAGACTTTATTTTAACAGCAGTAAGCATTTTTTTTAACCTTGCAACATGACAGCATGAAGCATCTTGAAGTATCTTTTGTGAAGAAAAAACAGTTATAAGAAACATAAGACAACTATGCACCTACTCTGTTTTGTTTAACTTGCTGACTCAGCACTTTGATGAGTCTAATCACGTCTAAGGGACAGGAAGGTGTGTTTTATTGACGGATCTGCCCTCCTCTCAGGCAACATCTTCACTGAGAAATGACCCAAGCATTAAGATGTGGCAGTTTAATCCTGCTGAGCCTGTGAGAAATAGCAACCTGCTGTTTTCTAAATATATAAAAAAAAAAAGCCTACCGTAAATGTGTAAATATGTTTTGGATAAAATGCTTATTTATGTTAAAATGTATTACTATGTTTTGCAAAGTATTATTGTCTAACCAGCAGTCATACTGTTTAAAGGAAGCCTATGGGTCAGTTTTTGTTGATATTTCAAACAGTACAGTTATAAAGCTGCTGTTGTACAGCAGCTAGAGGGAGGTTATGAGGGGAAATGTTCTCTTACACTTGTTCCCCTGTTGATGTTGTCATTTTGGCACTGTAGGTCCTACATCTAAAGACTGGGGGAGGAAGGGGCAGGCCCGGACCCTTGATAATGTAGTTTTACTGCATCATGAGATAAAAGGAAACAAATGACTTGCCAGGACTAAAAGCTGCCATGTTAACGTCCTCTACTACCAAACTGTAACTTCAGACATGGTAAGAACAAAGATCATCTACACAGACCTGATAGATGTTAATTTATATTTTGTTAGAAGATTAAGGAGTCTCATAGGATTTGTGCTGATTTTTTTGTTGTATTAGTCTGGATCTTTTGAGGTATATTTTTGTTGGCTACACATTCAGATACAAATCATGACGGTTTCTCAGGAAGTCTAAAATGCCTACATACTGGCAGTGCACAGATACTTTGCTCAACAGCAGATGCATCTATTGGACAGAGGGGCTACATGTTTACATGTCCAACATGGACTCAACTTTCACTCAGGTAAAAGTCGGTCAACTTCACAAGGATGTATGACCATCTTTCCTTCATGAATCTCATCCACTGTGACTGTCACTGGTTCTGGTTAGAGATTTAAATGTAATTTTATATCTATAAAAGCATTTCCATTTGAGACTGAACAAGAGACCAAGAAAGACAGGAGGTGGTGCTGATTGTTCCTGTCTGGTCTGATTTTCTTGAAAGTACAAACTTTGTGTTGACGTAAACTCATAAACAGACTCTTTCATTTAGAGTCAATGTAGCTTGTCCATCTCTCTCTCTCTCTCTCCCTGTCCGCTTTCAAATAATAAACCATCCACTTCACCAAACAAGATGATATTGTTTTGAAAAAAATGTATGAACTGGTCATCACCATCCATGGCAAATGTAAACAGGATGTTCCTGATATCAACACCGTAAAGCTCACTTATTAACAAGCAATAGTTCTCATTGACATAATCTGCACAATATCCCGAGTGTTAAAACAACAACTTTGTGTTTGACTATTCCTAGCTGGCAGTAAGCAGTGACATGCTGGAGCCTCTTTCCTCTGCTACCATTGTACACACGTCTTCAGAATCTACTCACAGTTTACTGCTTGTGTACCTGTAAGAGGTTTTAATTCTCTGAGAAAGTTTTATGTTCGGGAGTTTCAATGACCCAACTGGGGACAGAACTCACAAACTGGGAGAGGGAATCAAACTCGTAAATTATCAATCCCAGGCCACATCTCACTGAGCTCAGTGAATCCTTGAAATTGAAAAGGGCTTTCTCACCAAAAGAGCAGCACAATGTAAGCTGCAACAAACAAAGAGACTAAAATAGCTCAAAGAGACTGGATTTTGAGCCTTTGGGATTGTTTTTTAAATGACTGACATTAACGTTAAAAAACAAGTGAAGGGAACAGAGTGAATATTACTGGCACCATTAAGGATAATAGGCCATTAGGACTCCATCAGTAAAATCAAGCATATTAAGCCAGCAAACAAATTTAGAAATCTTCCACAGGATAATGAGAGGTTTATAGAAAATGAGCACACACAGAAAAACAGTTAAGGGGAGCCTGCAATTTTCTGTTAAAATGTTTTGATATCCATTAAAGAGTATGTTTTGCGTTTTCAACCACCAAAAAAAAAATCTCACTATAGTGTAACATCGCTCTCATGTTTTTCTGTGGACATCTCCCTTCAAGAATAGAATAGAATAGTTTAGATTTGATGAGCGAGTCAGATATTTATATTTTGAAATGACGGTCAAGCTTGGACCAGTATGACAACTGACTGGTCCTTGGGAGGGCAGTACACTGACATAATACAGTCACTTACATCCAAATACATTGAGAGTGATGATTGTGTAGATTTTTGAATGGATTAAGGGTTTTGATAGCTTTATAGTATACATCTGAATAAACATATTTTGGATTTCCTATTGAGTTTATGACTTGTGAAGCTTCAAAAGAAAACTGCTGGACAAGCCCTTAAGTTAGTTTGAAATGATTTTTAAGGGAGTCACAAAACAATAGGGGGGCTTTTGGTGAGGTCCAGCTTGACTTAAAGGCAGACAAGTGGAGATTGAAACATTAATTAGAGCTTATTACATTTCATTTCTGATACGTAAGCAGGTTTATCTATCTTAATTAATTTCACCTTTTGTTCTGTACCTCCTGAGATGGTCCGCTGGTCGGTTTCATCTACCTCAACACTCGTGATTCTCGCTTTGGGATGCAAGTGGTTCTTCTGTGTGCTTGACTCAGCTGTGGAGCGCTGCAGGAGTTTTACTTGTTGTCAAAGTCCTCAAAGAAATAAACTAAATGAAACACAGTGGGGGAGTGTAAAAAATAAAGGCAGAGAAGAATGGCAGTCAGTCCACTATTACTATCTCAAATATTCATTAATTATCATTAAAAGAAGTCCTGGTAAAAACTAATTCTCGTCAACTTCATACAATGAATATTGTGAACTTATATCTTCTGCTTAAAATACGTTGTTTTGAAACACATTTTTCAGAATTTGGATGGGGGAGGAGGGTCTGCTCATACTCAACAGAAATTTGCTTGAGAATTAAGAGAAAAGGTAAATTGATATTGTTATTTGGCATGACGCTTTTGAATCAGATTAGTGTCCACACAGCATACAGTTCAAACACATTATTATCTCAACATCCCACTCTGCTGCTGCTGCAGGCTTCTTTTAATGGTCCATCAGGGTGTTCCACTGGTGTGTGCCGCCACCTCAACACTGTAACATGCCCTGCTTCAGGTGGAGGCCCTCTGTCAGCATCACCCCACGGTGAGCTGTAATGACTTGGTGTGTGCTTAATGAGAGCTACTGCTGCCACAGCTATTGAGCCTCTCCTGCCACCAGGCCATGAAGCTGCTCCTGCTGTG